ATGCATACCCATGTGGGAATTGAACACGGCGTGAAGCAGGCTAACATCCCCACAAACGATCAGTGAGTGAGTGTAACGCCGGCTTAAACGCTATTTTAAGAGGTGATCGTGATAGATGGACGCTGTAGCGAAGGACGCTGACGCAAGCCACTTTGGTGAAACTAATGGGCGCGGGAATAATGCCGACATACTTGATCATAATCAGGTTGAATCTGAAAATCTAATCTATGATCAGCGGATCCTGTCACGGTTAAGAGACGCAACCATTACGGCGTTACTTTCATGGGTTTCTACATACGTGGTTGTGCCACATTACAGCTTAGACTCAGTTCAAGTCTCTCCAAAAAAGGAGCTACGATTATATATAAAACATGGTTGCTGGTTCTTTGGAAAACACTCACTCACTCAATATTTGTGATTTATTTACACGAATTCACCTAGTTCATTGGGACATCTTTCATCATTTCGACATGTTTCGCTAAAACGTGAAAGGAGGTGCACAATAAGTATCGCTGTAGCATGGAGGCCAGTTTGTGCTCACAAGGCATCGTGAAGAGTAGTGAAGAAGTTTCCAGGTCAGGGTTTGGACAAACATGGCGGCTGACTAAATGATCGATTTGACAATATGTTGTCAGTCATTATTCATGCATCAATTAGTCATGAGTTTTTGTTATTCACGTTGTTTTGTGAGCAAGTTTAGTTTCAAATGTGTTAACATAAGTCCACAATCAATGTTTAGTTACCATGTATCATGCCCCAGAGTTTTCTTGTGTCAAATGTCATTTCCGGTGTAACGTCGGGAACCACTGGAAAGTGGAATTACTGTGCAGTCACTCTGGTGGATAATAAAAATTTGCTAGGCACCATGTGAAGCCCTTGAAGAGATTTTTTGAGCCAGTTCTCAGTATCGTTTCTTTGCAGGCTTGACAACGACGTGTCAAAGTTATTGAAGAGCCAGCTGTTTCTGAACCATGTCCCAGATTTTGATTCCTAATATTTCATTGTTTAGACGAAGAGATATACAAGATGTTTAGTGGCGTATACCATGAATGTTGCACTGTGTGTGTCCTTCTATAAGTGCCCCAGACTCATTTGCTGAAATACCCTGGTGCATAACACATGTACTATCAGTTGTGCTCCCTCACGTTTGAACTGATTGGACAGCTGGAATGGTCCGAGCAACACCTGGCCTTGGTGACGACGCTCAAAGCGTGTTTCCACAACATTTTGGGCCATTCCAGCATACCAACCGCGCGGAGACGCTGGTTTTCTGTAAGCCGCCGCATGAGGTACGCCTAGTTTAGGTTGAAATTAACGTGTTTTCCACAACATTCTGAGGCTAAATTTTCAAATAAATTTTATTTTACGCAATTGTATGGTATGCACAGTTACTTTTTCCCTTTATTTTATAAAGGAATGTTCAATCCTATCTACATTAAAAATGTATAGCCTGTGTATTGCATGAGGTATCTCCGTTTTACTGGTTTTACGACATCACAGTGTTGTTGTTATTGTTTGTTTGTTTACAGCAATACTCCTCCTCAATGACAGCGGTCTGTAGATACTTCAGTCTGAATCGGAAAACCTAATGTTTGATATTATGAGCATCGACGCGATGCAAAACAAACAAGTTACCGATCCTGACCATCCCATCACCCAGCATCCGAAGGGCCGATCCTAAGGGCCTATGACCTTTCAGAAACATCTGGATTTTGGGCGCCATATAAATTTGGAGTTTATTAGTATTATTTATTTACATGTAGTAGGCTATAGAAGGGGTCACTAGAGTCAGGACGCTACTGAAGGCAAACCAATCCCAAAGTGAGGTAGAATATATACACGTACCCATATGGTAATTAAAACAGCGAAATATTGGAATTCCCTGTATGGGTGACCTTGATGACTGCGTGTCATCGGTTAGGTTTCTTAATGCCTACAGTGACAAATGCCTACAGGCAATAATATCTACGGAGTATGTTGTTTTAGGTGAGCAGCAGTGATACGCTTCCCTGCACACAAGTCGTCACTTCCACGCTAATGCGTTTAACCTGTCTACACTATGAAAACGTCCTAGAGATTATCTGATCATATCAGCACAAGCAGTGCCTTATGTGTCCTTTTTGCTTGTTTTCGATACAATTTGTCTATCTTTCTCAACAGGAACTATATATGTAAAAGCAATTTCATTACTTCTGTTTAGCATGCAATAGATTTTGTACTGAGTAAGTTTGAGAAGGAAACGTGTTGAAATAAAATGGGAAGGTTCTTCAGAACCTGGAGAAGACCGAACGGAACAAGCTTGTTCAGTTCATCTATTGAGCTAAACCACCGCCACGACGTCGTGTGTACAAGGAGATTGACAGCAGGCTTGATAGACTAAAGGATCAGCTACGAGCTGGTGTGAAGGCTCCCTTGGACTTTCTCAGTGCTGTTGGTCGACTAGTGAAGATGGAGTAAAACAAATTCTCAGACTTTTTGCCAGTCAAAATATGCATAAGATGATGAAAAGATATTTGACCCTGCCAGATGTAAAGATATGAATTCAATTATTGTTCCATTTCACAAATATATGAAAAACCCCAGCATTTTTCATTGTGTAGGCATTTGTCCACCTTGTCTGTTGGAATGTTCCATTTATCTAATGGGGAGAAGATACTGCTGCTTGAAATCACTGGTGCATTACTTTGTTTATTCTACACTGTAGGCATTTGTCACTGTAGGCATTTGGAGACTACGCAGTGTCATCTTACTCCAACGATGTGTGGTTTTGCTCATGCTATCAGCATCTCGTTTGAATGGACGGAACTCGGGTATTTAATGACCTGTAAGCTATAGGTAGGGCATTGCTAATCGCGCCGTAAAACTAAATTCACTCTTCCCTTCAAACCGTACATAAATAGAATTTAGACACGTTATCATCTAGTCTGATAAATGCGACGAATATATTAGATCTTTGTACAGAGTTTGGTTCAGATGAATTGGTCAAATGTACTACTGAATTCGTTTATATACTACTCACAAAAAGAAACTGTACACACGGGAAATCAAATTGGAACTACCTGTGTACACACATACGTATACAGATGGAAACACCCGGGTTTGTGAATTGAATTGAACACATATGCATGTGCTACGTTACGGCATGGGCACATACAGGCACAGCACGTTTGTGCATGTGCCTCTGGATGAACTAAGTTTAGCACATTAACGTCAAAACGGTTCTCGACTTGGTATACTTGTTTGACGTTTGCTGATGAACCGCAAATCATGTCAAGACTCACGACTGAACGTCATGAGGCTGCTGGGATGGTCCGTGGTGGAATGTCTCAAGGTGGCTGCGCATGTCTATTGCCATAGAAACGTCTGTAAATAATCGAGTCTGGACCAGGCCATCCAGTGATCAACAGCATGGACATCAATCTACGCAACTGGGATACGATGACATGTCAGTGAGCCTGACCACCCAATCCCGTTAGTCGCCCCCTACAACAAGCATGGCATACCGAAGATCAATTCTAAACCGGATCTTCACGGGTTTCTCCTCTAAAAAGTATGTGTGGGATGAAATGAAGAGATGTCCACGTGTACCAAATCTGCCGAATTACATTCGAGATTTGGCAGCAGAATTCCCGAGATTTTTACAAGTCATTTCATAGCCTTCAATGGTCATTTGGGGCGATGGGGTAGCCTAGTTGTTTCGTTCGTCACGTCGATGACTCGGGTTCGATTCCCCACATAGGTACAAATTTGTGAAGCCCATTTCTGATGTCCCCTACCTTGATATTGTTAAAAGCGGTGTAAAATTAAACTCAGTCAATGGCCAATTGATCGATTCATTGTGTTGGCGGTGCACCACTGTTCTGCTGCTCGTTGTGGACATTTCCGTAATTGAGCTTGTGGCCCATGGCGTTGCATGACCCGACAATAATTTTGAATCATAAAGTCAATGTCATGGACATTATGATCTCGATATCCACCTATTGAAGTTTACATTGAAACGTATCTTTGTTAATTCTTTTTTTTCAAATTAATAAGATTTTTAACAACGCCGTATCTTTTTGTGACGAGTATAATTTGGTTTACATGAGACTGTACAGTGGTTGTTCACTTCGGTTGTTAGCCATATAAAAGACATTGACTGTGGATTAATGTATTCTCGACATAATGTATATAGAGATGCACCCCTCAAATATCTGCATAACTCCGTAACAGATTGCCTATTGACATGAAAGCAGAATAGCTATATGATATTGCCATATTACTGGCCCGAGGTATGACGTGACAAAACATGACAGGTGGAATAAAGTGTCACAACTCGATGTGGAGTTGCGACCCTTCGCCGTACCAAAATCCGAATTCAAGTTGTGAAGGTTACTTTTGGTTTTCCTCAGCTTCAGGTCAGCTATAACTGAAAGTCTTCAAAGCAGCCGAAAACCATACTCACTCACCTGCTTGCTCACTACACTGCATGGGGCCACGACCTTGAATTGAAATCAATCAGAAAATCACATAACAACAATTCTAGATACGTTTGTATTCATTTTCTTACAAACTGGTGATGGCAAGGTTTCTTCGCTACATGGTGTTTCAACAGCATCGAAGACACATATTTCTTGATAATACTATGAAGATGGAATATATTCAATACACGATAATTATGTCAAGTTAAGGCACTCTTTGTTTCGTCTACTGTCATCTTTCATAACTTTCTGTAGATAACACAGATACGCTACACAACACCCTTACTAATTTGACCGCCTCCGTCGTGTAGTGGTTAGAGCGTTCGCCCGGAGAGCGGAAGATCGCGGGTTTGATCCCCGACCGCGTCATACCAAAAGACGTTAAAATATGGTACTTGTTGGTCCCTGCGTGGCGCTCGGCATTAATGGGTACAACAAGGACTGGTCGGCTCGGAGTCAGTATAATGTGTCTGAGTGAGGCATTCATGCTTCACTGCGGCATGGCATCTCAGTGGGCTAGCACTATAAAATCAGCAAGCAGCCGCACATACACATACACACGCATGCACGTCGTCATATGAGCGAAATATTCTCCAGCGCGACGTTAAACCCAATTTCACCTCACCTCACCTTACTAATTTAATGAACAATAATATCACTTAGTATGACGAAGCGATAAAACAAGCATCACATATATGTCTGTCTCAATAACGGGAACTTCATAAGAATTACGCCAATGATCAACAGGTGCGAGATGTAAGACAAAAAGTACGTTATCAATGAACAATGGGTACGACAATAAAGACAAAAGTGGATGAATCAGTGTGTGTTATTTCACTCACGGTGAAAGTTCGAAGACAAATCGGAATCGGTTTAATTAAGACAGGTCTTAAAACGTACCGGCATATGTAAGTTAGTCTTTAAAGATAGAACACAAAATGTACACACGAATTAAACTCTTTCCAGTAAGAAGGTTTCATCGAATTACAACACGTGTCTTCATAAACAAAATAAATATAAACGTTCCTATCTGTAAATAAGTGAAACGCTGACAACGATGTGTTGCGGTGGAGATGAAGACTTAAAACACCATCAACAAAGTGTAAAACAATAGTGAAACGTATAAACAGATTCTGCTTAATGCATGGTTACATGATACAACATATATAGGTATAACTGAGATGTACAAACAGCAGCAATACCGGCAGTTATACACTGCCCTCTAAACGTACACGATAAACGTAATACTACATGGAGCATAAATACTAGTACATAGTTTTGGCGTAGATATACATACATGTAAACAAAAGGTAATACAAAGCAAGATGTTCAAACACTCGACATATCTATTCTTCAAAGTGGAAAATAAAACAAAATAAATATTAATGCTCTTTAGGTTATTGCTGGTAATTTGAGGCTAAGCTACCCCGGCTTTTTTCCAAAAAGTTTAAAATATCGAAACAATCAATTCAATATCAATATTCAACACCCCTGGAAAAGAAATGCCACATGGAAACGGTGAACGGGAAATATAATTAGAATTACCCTTGTCAATATAAAATGTGAAACCGTAAATAATCGAAATATAATTAAATTTACCAGTGATAGTTTTCAAACATGAAAACATCACGTAGGTATTGATTGATCGAAAAACTTCCAAAATTCTTCGTCCTTTTCAACCTTTTCTGGCATTGGCGCAGGCGCTGGCGCCGGGGGTGGTGTAATTGGAGGGGTCTTGAACTCTATAACTTCTAACGGGGTGGCAGGCTTCTCAACAACTGGTTCCGGTTTTTTAGGCTTTGGCTTAGGTTTTAGTTTTTGTTGTGTCGGTTTAACAGGAACGGGTCGAGTGGCACTCCGATCCCAGTTTACAACTGCCTTGGGTAAACTGGCCAGATACTCATCCCATTGTTTCCCCATACGCTGTCGTAATACATTGTGTTCTGCCCATTTACCTGAAAAGATGTTGGTATGTTCAAATCAACAAAGTATTGATACAGCGTAACGAGAAAATAGCCAATACCACGTATTCAAACATGTTTTATGGTGAAACAAAGGCAAAATAACGGAAATATCATGTTTATATGAAAACAGACCAAGCATTGGATTTGGCTTCTGTAATCTGCATTGGGCAATGTAAGTTTTCATCGAATCGGATAGGTCAGTTTCAACTGTATGGCGAGCGGAAAAGGGCTTACATAATCACACTCTTCTTGATTATTTCTGGGCAAACATGAACTAAAGACTCTGAGTAGTTTTAAAGTATCAATGTTGCTTTATTCATGAAATTAGTCGTGCAGTATTATGGGAGAAAAAAAAGCAATCGTGTGTGCAAGCAGAAGCGCATGGTTTTACTAAAAAGAGTCTAGTATTCTAAAATGAAAAAGTGAAATTTTCATTTCATTAATAAAGCCATTTTCTTAAAACCAAAAATGTAAAATAAATTAACGATTTTGTAAAATTGATTAAAGATGTGATAAAATGACGTTTATTTACCACAAAGAGACTTTGATAATCATATACAGCTGTAATTTACTCCTTCTTCCCCCCTTCCAAAGCTTTGCGTTCCCAGGCCTTCTTCATTCTCTCTCTCAGCACGTTGTGTTCAGCCCACTTACCTAAAACAAACCAGAAACACGTGCAGCAACACCACACAAATATGCCAGGGAAAGATGTGCACAGCAAATGGTGGAACACAACGTGTAAGGTTCGTCAAGAAAAGGTTGCAGAAAACGAGTTAAAGCAGCATAGATGCACCGTAGCAAGTATTCCGATCGCAGGTCCCATATACACTATGTCTGACTCATTGTCTCATCAAATACCGAATTTCATTGTTTTGATCAAATATTTCAAAATATACTGACGTTCATAAGAAAGTACACACCTGGTGTTTTAGGACTATTTCCATTAAATCCATAAATATTTCGCTAGCAATGTTGTAATTGGGTACAATATCTGGTGTTTTGGAAACACTTGCACAATGTTTGTGACAAGAAAGAATCAGGTGACTTGTGACAAGAAAGAATCAGGTGACTGAATCTGAACGTCAGTTTACGTCATTGCGAATTGAATCACAAGTTTGTGTCGTAAAATAGAGATTGCAGGTGGATATCTTGCAATGATGGCTAAGTGATCTCAGTGATATTTTTATACATGGTTGCGTTAGTGATAGATCAGAAGAAGAGTAGAGGAAGTTGGCAGCTTAGCGAAAGGAAGGAACATTACATGATGTGGAAACATGCCTCCAATTTGTGTTTGTCAGTGAGTATGGTTTTACGCCGCTTATAGCAATGTACAGAAATATCATGGCGGGGCACACCAGAAATGGGCTTCACACATTGTACCCATTTAGGGAATCGAACCCGGGTTTTCGGCGAGACGAGCGGACGCTTTAACCATTAGGCTACCCCACCGGCCCCCTCCAATTTGAGAAAGATTATCATTCTAAACATTGTTTAACATTAGCCGTGAGAAATATAGAGTTTCATTTGATACCACTTTAAATAACGATTAGTTCCGACTTTACAATCCCACATATGTTACTGCTTGGTGGAGATCAGAACAAACTTAAACACTATGACAAAGCACAGTGCTTTAATGTCACAACAAATTTGATTATCATGACAATGAAATTTCAGTTATCTGTCTTTGGATGTTACCACGATTTACAGTTTTTATAGGAAGCCGACTTTAAGCTAACGTAAGTTTTTTGTCATTGAGGGTAGGGCCACGTGACCAGCAACAATCTAACTCTGTACCTTTGTTCAATGTCTGTCACATCAGGATACAAATTTACCACAGATAACATATACGATCATTATTTCTTATAAATCGTTTATAAATATCTCTGTTTTATTCTGGCAGTGTTTCAGCGTATTATTGGTGCCAATCAACTTAAACATTCTGATACCTTGGAAGGTAGAAGTATACTCACTGAGCTCATCCCTTTGGTAACGGTATTCCTCTGGATCCTGGTATCGCTGAGGGAAGACGCTATCATTGTACACAGTTTTCGTTGTACTAATTTTATGGCCCGAACTGTAACCAGGAAAGACATTCTGTCGGGTTGCATTGCTGAGGAGATCATACTCGGGGTTGTCATTCTTCTTGAACACTCCTGGTTGTTCAGGACGCCGATTTTGTACAGGAGCCTCTAGTTGTTCGTACCGAGCTATGCTGGCCGCCACAGTGGCTTCGTCTGAAAACAGGGCATCGCATACCGCACTGCCGTACTTGTGTCTGATGTTGGCGGGAATCGCTATAACACTGCGGGGAGCTGGCTGACTTGACCCAGCCGTCTGCATCTCAAGGTTGTTCGTGATATTGGTCCTTTGTTGAGATCTCTTCCTGAAATTGCTGTTCTGATTTACGTCATTGCCTTGCCGGGGCGTGAACTCCATCCCCGGATAAAGTATGTCCCCCATTTGGCTATAAGAATGCACTTTAGGTTTTCGGCCATATTTGTCTCTGTTGTAACTTCCTGTAGCTGTGAGACCACCCACATTAACGTCTTTGGCGTGTTCAATGTCCTTCTCCGTAAACCACTTGTGCTCCTTGTCCGTTTGACCCTTCCATGATGAAGCTGACGTCATGGAACCTGTAGTTTTGGGGTCAGGGCTAAACGCCAGGGCCTTGTCCTCGGCGGACTTCAGGTCATTCTGACTCTTCCGGACGACCTCCTTCTGGTGTTCAAAGTCAGCACGCTTGCGGCGAAGAATATCATTATCTGGATTGAAAACATAAAACATTCTACAGGTGATACCCTGACACTGTACCCGTCGGTAAAGGTAAAGATAAGACACGTGTTAAGCTTCGGTAGGTCCTAAAGCACGTTTACCAGATTAGAAGATAGTTTTGAGAAAGCATTATGGGCAAGTGGTGATCACCGATCTATGGATCAGTTGTTCACACTACAGCATTCAATACAATCAGATAACACACAGACCCTGTTGGTTCATCAAGGTTATTAGTCAGCTCTAACATAACACGTCTTGTTATATTATTACCTTATCGGACTATTAACGACTTAAAAACCTTCATTTTAGGAAGTAAATTAGGTAGTTTTGTTTCAGTTGAGGTAAAACGGGTTTCATGTTGCGTTCAGGATAGCTTCACTTAAATAGCGATGTGCATGCGTGTGTGTGTCGCCTCTTGTACAAGTCCAGCCTTCGATGGTGCTAGCCCAGTGTTATACTATGCCTCAGTATAAACCGGATACAACCACTCAGATACTGTCCGCGAACCTACCAATCATTGTCATGGTCCTTAGTTTCGAGCGCCAGGTAAGGCAACAAGAATCACATTTAACAGTCGTTCGGCGTGACATTGCCTGGGGATCAAACACCGACCTTAGGCTCTTTGTGACATTCCATTATGCACCATAAACGCGGGCAAGTTGTATCCTTTAACTAATTTAGCACGTATGACATCATATTGTAAGTGTTTGATAAAAGATCTTTGGTTCATTTGGATTAGCGGGTTCATTATGGAAGGTGACATTACTATTGTGGTACCTTCGTCATCCATAACATTTTAACACAAGGGTGGAAATAACTTTAAAATTGCTAGTGTACTCCGGTACAGTGGCACATGTAAAATCACTTGCCCTGATCATTATTCCACTATACCAGCTGTTTTCTTGTTGATTTTTTACATAAAGAACATAATTAACATTGGAAAGTCAACTGGACACCGGTACAGTGTGATATACAAATTTGCTTGCCCGACCGACAAACCACTGGACTCGGGCGTCGGGCAATGGGTTATTTCCACCCCTGTAACATGATATTACTTGACTGTACATATGTGTACAACAAAAGAGTTCCTTTGTACACTGCGGCTAATGTAAAAGGTCTGACAGTCCTACCCTGACGGACGTTGACGTTTGCAGTGACGGCTTCAGCCGGGTGTTGATGCTGCACCTCTCCATCCCTCATCTCAAGCGACGTTCCGAACAGCGAGTTCTTGGGCATGGCCTCTGTGCGGCGGGGCTTGTACGCTGCGTTAACATCGGTGGATTGTTGTGTGGCCACTGCGGCCATCTTGTCCATTTAACACGCCCACAGCGTTCGTGTACCTGGACAGAAACAAATACGTTAATACCAATAACCGTGAAAAAAGGTTTTCGATGTAAATTGTCATTAATGTAATATCATTAGGTAACTAAGCGGTCTGTCTTTTGGGAGGTCTGTCTTATTATGTTAGTTAAGAAAAGCGACCACATACCTCATAGTACCATTAGTATATCATGAAAGGTCAAATATTACCCGACGTTCGTTATTATGGGGAACTGACTGTTCCGACGACAAAGGAATGTGCTGCGTTGCGAGCTGAACGGTTATTGATTAGTAATGACTGATGATCTATTGATTGCTTGAGGGACAACAAGGCGAAATTACAGGAAGACTAATTTAAGGTTTCGTGTTGTTACTTTGTTTTGTGCATGTATGGGTGACAGAAGATATTATGACTGTCCATTAACTGAAATTAATATGTCTAATGTACGTAATTTTCTTTACTTTACATGAAATCGCTATAACAAGAATAAAACGAACAGATTTCATTTCCTACATTTTAAATGTAAGTTTGCTATGAGATTTTCAAAATGATAAAATCATAATAACTAATTTAAGTGCAATAAACTTTGTTATAAATGTAAAATTATATCTTTATAAAATGTAGAAATGTACAGTTATATGTATTAAATACCCATGAGTGCAATTTGCACATTCGAATATCACGTCTTGTTTTAAATTGAAAAAATATTAAAGTTGCATTTGTATCATACAGTATATACCATTCCTGATAGTCCAGATAATATTAATATTAATGTTCACAAAGTTTAAAGATCCTCTTTCGGCATATTGATATTAGAAATACATGTATATATAGATCTACCAACCTTACATGAAACAAACACCATATCATGCTGTGTGCATTTGTTGTAACTTATATCACTGTCGCATGTACAATCAGAACATGGACGAAAAGTGCATGGATGTATTTTGGTGTTTGTTTATGTACGTGTTATAGTTAACAAAGTGTAAAAACCGCCGGAAATTTATTTGACTTAGACTTTTACCACTTAAATCCACCTGCATGGGACACTGTACTGACAGGCCCAAAATAAAAATATCAGACATTATCGTGGATTCGAACCCATGATCAGTGGAACCGGTTACACGACAGATTTAGAAAAAATGATTTACGGTTTAATCAAGTAGTAAGTATAAGTTGAGCGTCAGTTATATCTAAAGCCAATTGTGTGTGTAACTTAATACAAAGCCTGTGAAGGAGGATTGTTTACATGTGGTCCTATCAACTAGACCTGTACATACACACACAGAAATAGGAAGCGATTCAAATTATCCACGTTAGCTGAAACTTTATTATGTGTATCAATGGGTGTCGTTATAACTCACATAAACAAATCCTTCAATAGGACGCTCGTAACACTAAAGGAGAAAGTGACATCAACTTTTCAAAGTTTCAAATGGTTGTCACCTACCGTAAGAAGTGGGCCCGTCAGTATCCATGCACGCTATCGAGGATCTAGGACAGTATTGATGACGTACTACACCAGTGCAATACCTGTGACGTAGTTCACAGTAGAACGTCGAGTGGTGCATGCAAGGTGAGGTTGTGTAAGTGTTTGCATGTCATACGCAATGTGCTAAGTCAGTCACAGTCAAAGTGTTTCATGCTGACAACAAGAATTTTACTGCAGATGAGAACTTTGATAGAGATTTGAAATTTTAGAAATTATTTCAGCACCACGTCATGAAAATGTCTCATCATTTGTCATGATTTGATCTCGCCAGTTCCAAATGAGTTCTAACGAGGGCGAGCTCCCATGCATTTTTTTACCGTTTTTTATTACATTTATACACCCTTAGCAAACTGCTTGTATAATATTCAGTAATAGGCCAATATCAGTGTTAATTGACAGGACTAAGATCATGTCCAACAAGACTTAATGATAGCAAGTTTTGTAGCCAGATATAGAGATACACACGGTAGGCCTGTCTGTTAAGACATGTAATATTACTAATGAAATGGCAGTATAATTTATCATGAATTTTATGATGCTTCGCTATAAGATCAAGGGTATAGAATTTTCTCTATTATGTGATAAGGTACATTTTTTGGAGTAGGTCATACTGACTTGATGTCACTCATCATTCTAGTCTGCCCCCTTGCAACCAAACATACCTTTTGTAAGCATACTGATTCACATCAGTTGTCCTTACCTATAGTACAGTCCCACAGTCCCACAGTGCAACCTACCCATTTAGCACCCTATGGCCATTGGACCGCCTCCGTGGTGTAGTGGTTAGAGCGTCCGCCCGGAGAGCGGAAGGTCGCGGGTTCGATCCCTGACCGCGTCATACCAAAAGACGTTAAAATATGGTACTTGTTGGTCTCTGCCTGGCACTCGGCATTAATGGGTACAACAAGGACTGGTCGGCTCGGAGTCAGTATAATGTGTCTGAGTGGGGTATTCATGCTTCACTGCGGCATGATACCTCAGTGGGCTAGCACTATAAAACCAGCTTAAGTCTGGGCTAGTACAAGCAGCCGCACATACACACGCATGCAGGTCGTCATATGAGCGAAATATTCTCAAGCACGACGTAAAACCCATTTTCACCTCACCTCACCCATGGCCATTGCAGGGTCTACAGTTGCTTCTGTCAGTTAACATTACTGGTGGAAACATTACACTAAACAGTTTTGATGGTATATGGATTATTTCTGCTGTGTGATACCAATCAAGCACTACAACCTATGCTTACATGAATTGATGTTCTGTGAATCTAAACATACATCTATTCAGGTTTTATGATGGCAAGCCGACAGATACTTCGCAGATTGGTTCCTATGGTTACAAGCAGTGTGAGATGTCACCACTGTCTCCGCCTCCCACAGCCTTTACTCTCACACCAGTCACATGTCACCAAGATCGCAACTCCGCCAGTCAGGTCACTTGCAGCCAGTGCGAAGTTCAAGTGTATCAACATTCAAGATGATGATGACTTCCAGCAGAGAGTCCTAGACAGCAAGACCCCGGTGGTCGTTGACTTCCATGCAACGTGAGACATATTACTATGATACCACTAAGACCATGTGCTTAATGTTTGTTTACAGATATTTTAGAACAAGTGTGCTTAGGTCAATTTTGCTCAATATTTCCATGTCTTTTTTGGCATGAAATTGTTTGATTCAGTTTATTGGGAAAATATCATTAGTTTCGATAGCAAGATGTGTATTTGTAAAAATAAATGCTAAGTCAGTTTCAAGAGTAGGATGTTAACTGTCATTTTTAGTACTTTTACTGTATCATGAAAATGTATTCATTTCTGAGGATGTTTTGGTCACTTGAAGGGTTTGAAGAGGCATGTCCTATATACTGTTAACTGTCAGGCATGTATCATATATACTTTCTGAGGTTTGGTCATTGGAAGGGTTTGAAGAGGCATGTCCTATATACTATGCATTGGATTAACAAGTTTAAAAGTTTACTATCATTTTCTATGTTGTTGTTTTTCAGTCCAAAAAGGATTTAGCCATCAAGAAATTTATAAATACTCTGTACTTTTCTGATAATGGCTTGTAGTTCCCATCAGTCAAATCCATAAATTGAAAAATGAGAAACCTATTGCTCTAGTATGTTTCATTAATGGTAAGAACTAAGCTTTAGACATGGTAGAAGAACTGTCAGCAATGTTAAATGTGGTCAGTATTGATACAAATTGAGCTGATGCTCAAATAACAGTAACAAATTTAGCACAAAACTCTCTGCTATGCTGCACAAATGTAAATAAAATGTGACTATTATCCTTTGATAAATGGACAAAAACATGATAACAATCCTGCTAATGTCTCTATTTCAGGTGGTGTGGGCCCTGTAAGCTCCTGGCACCGAGGTTGGAGAGTCTCTCGTAGCGGGCAAAGAAGGCAAAGTGATTCTAGCAAAGGTTGATATAGATGACAATGCAGATCTGGCGATGAGGTTTGGGGTAGGTATGCCTGATTAACAGCAGACTTATGCTTCATTTGATATGTCAAAGATTCTCAGGTTGTGTCATGGTATTGTGTGACGTGTAATATAGCCATTAGATATGTAATTCAGAATTAGGAATGAAAAGGTACTGATACTGTACTTTGTATACTGTACTCAGAAACGGACCGATGAATTGCAAATTTTATCATTGTTCTGAAGGCATTTTGGTTTTATCACTGAAACTGCTCGCTCAAACGCACTCAGTGCTTACTAGGCGTATCACCCGAACACACCTGGTGAAGTGCACGGGAAAAACGAATAGGTTTTGCATATATAAGACGGTGGTCAGCGATACACGGCCCATTCGCTCCTTTCTGCTATTCGTTACAGGTCGTGTGTTGGCATTTATTTAGACATTTAGACTACGAATGACTTAGATGTTAGATGTGTAGGTTCAATTGGCTATTGTGGCCTTAGATTGTTGAACTTGCATTAGTATGGTTAAAGGTTAGGCAATTAGCGGTAGTTAGCTGGTCATTTCATTTCAAAATTCATTTAGAATCACTTAAGAGAATCACGTTTAGTTCTTTGTAAATTCCATAGTTTTCTCACTTATAATAGTTATCACGTTTAGTTCCTTGTTTTAGGCCAAAAGGTAAGTTCAAAATTTTAGTTGATTAAGAATTCAGTTAATTTGCATAGCTCTGCCAAATCGTTTTTTTTTCCACTGCGCAACATTTGGTAGCAGAGCGTGGTTTCTCTGGTTAGAATATTCAGTTATAGTTGTGTTAGCATTTAGTTCAGTTAGATACTTTAAGACATAGAATAGTTACTGTGAAATAACTATTCACTATGTCAGAGTCCAAGCCAATTGCTAAGTCTATGTTAGAGGTCGCTCCTGGCGAGATAGAACTGAGAATAGCCAAACTTAAGCATCAGAAGACTGTATCAAAGTCGGCTTTAACTAAGGCAAAGAACAAATTGTTGAATTTAGTTGAAATTGAGACTCCAGATCGTAAAACAATCAAGAATGCCATAGACCAGGTTAGTTCCTTGCAGAGCAAGGCTATAGGTATCATAGTTGAGTTATTAGAGGCTTACAGCTTGATTGGTGACTCTGACAAAGTTCAGAAAACCAGTAAGGAAATTGAAATTGTTGAAGATGAGATTCAACTGGCCCTTGATAATGCTGAAGGGTTTCTTAGAACCAATGCACCTGCTAGTTCAAAGGCATCGAGCATTAAGTCTGGAATATCAAGGTTATTTCATTCTGACGCAAGTCATTCGCATGAGAATTGTAAAGGTTCACAACATGGTTCAGGAGTTAGTCAAGGTGACAAACCTAATTCACCCAACATAGGCTGTGTTTCACAAAAGTCAAATGTGGTTAGAAAGCTTCCACTTAACACCGAAGGGTATTATTCCTCTTCAGGTAAGTCATCTAGGCAGCACAATTTAGGTGAAGACATGTGGAAACAATTTGAGGCAGTATCCATCCCAGTATTTCATGGTGACACTAGTGAATCACGAAGGCTGGAAAGCTGCTTTCATGGCATGTGTTGATAAAGCTCCAGCCACTAATGAGTATAAGCTTCTGCAGCTTAAACAATATCTTTCTGGTGAAGCAGCACAACTTGTAGCTAAGTTAGGTCACAGTGCCTCAGTCTATGATGTGGCCTTAGAAAGGTTGGATAGAAAGTATGGCGACAAGCGGCGCCAGATAGCACTGAAACTGGAAGAAATATATAATTTCAGGCCAATACGACCAGGGAGTGCTAAAGATTTGGACAATTTTGCTGACATGCTTGATGTAGCTGTGGTCAGTTTGAGGGAATCTGACACGATAGAGGAATTGGGGAGTGGGTGTTTGTATTCACTACTGGTTAAAAAGATGAATGAGGCTATGATAACGCAGTTTCACAGATGGATGTTTGAGAACCAAAGACAAGAGTCAGTTGAGACACTTAGGGAATGGATACTACAAGAGGCAGACTTTCAGACAATAGCTTCAGAGGTAAAACATGGAATAGTTAACAAATCAAAGACAACAGATAGGAGAGATAGCAACAAAAAAGGAACATTCTCAAGCACACATAACCGAGCTAAGGCAAAGCAATGTCATGTTTGTCATGGAACAGATCATGACACGTGGGGTTGTGCACAGTTCAAATCTCTTGGTCTACCAGAAAGGTGGGATAAGGCAAAACAGTTAGGTTTATGCTTTTGCTGCCTTGACATCAGTCATCTGGGTAAATCATGCAGTAGAATTGTGAAATGTGGGCTTGATGGCTGTAAGGCTAATCATAACAGGTTACTTCATGACAACAGCAAAGTGGCCAGGAGCGATAGGGCTGACAGTGGTATTATGCGGAGGTTAATGATACAACCACAAAGTCTCATGAAAGTAGATCAGAGACAACCACCTTGTCAACTTCTAAACAGGAAGCACATTATCTTGCTCTTAGGACAATTCCTGTCGTTCTTAAGAATGGTAATCACAGAATGACCGTGAGCGCATTGCTTTCGATGATGCTAGCACGCGATACTTACATCAACGAGGATGTAGCATATGAACTTGGTGTGCAAGGTAATACACAACAAGTGTCGGTCAATGTCCTGAATAATAAACAGGAGACCTTTGACAGTATGCTAATTGATGTTGGCCTAGAGAGTATGGATGGTTCAGTAGACATGACCATTACAGCTTTGACAACTACCAAAGTAACTGGTAGAATGGAAGTTATTGATTGGCGTACACATGCAAAGCAATGGCCACATTTGAGGAATATTCAATTCCCAGAGGTAAGTTCTCGGGCCATAGTTGACATCCTAATAGGTATGGACTATTTAGAGCTGCATTCTTCTCTCAAAGAAATCTGTGGGCTTCCAAGGGAGCCAGTAGCTAGGTTGACACCTTTAGGCTGGACTTGTGTGGGTCAGATACCAGGTTTAGACAGGCATGCAACACATGTTGCAGGTTCATTCTTCATCCAGAATACAGAGGTAGAAGCAGATACAAATCTTGACTCTTTGATTCATTCGTTTTGGGAATCTGAAAGCATTTCGGGTTCAACAACAGTTAGAAGTCTTGATGAGGATGTTGCAGTTAAGGCTGTAAAACAATCTCTTGTGTACAAAGAAGACAGATATCAGGTTGGCATTCCATGGAAGGAGGGTCGTGATAGTCTGCAAAACAATTATGACATGGCATACAGTCGTCTTGTCAATATAGAAAAGAAGTTGTCAAAAGATCGAACCATTTCAGAAGCCTACAATGACGTAATAGAACAGTACATACAAAAGGGTTACATTAGAAAAGTACCTGAAGCTGAAATAGGTCAAAGTAAATGGTTCTTGCCTCATTTTCCTGTCATTAAACCTGACAGAAGTACAACAAAGGTAAGAATAGTATTTGATGCTTCGGCAAGGAATAAAGGCATATCATTGAATGATGTTATTCATCAAGGCCCTAAACTACAGAATGATCTGTTTGAGATCTTGCTGCGGTTTCGGAAACACCCTGTTGCAATCATTTGTGATGTTGCTGAAATGTACCTCCAAATTGAACTTGCTCAGGATGACCATTACATATCTAAGGTTTCTTTGGAGATCGATGGATCAAAACAAAAGCCAGATGTGTTTGAGTTCTCAAAGGTTGTATTTGGACTAAATTGTTCTCCATTTTAGCTCAGTATATCACTCAGGAACATGCGAAATCACTTCAGAAAGAACTTCCATTAGCTGCAGCTACAATAGAAAAGTCAACCTACATGGATGACAACATTGATTCTGTAGAGACAGACAGCAAAGCTATAGAGCTCTACAAACAGCTGCAACAGCTGTGGAGTAGTGCAGGAATGCATGCTCGTAAGTGGGTCTCTAATTCCATACCAGTTCTCCAACAAATACCAGAAGAAGACAGACTAAAGGAGATAAATATTCAAATGAGTGAATTGCCATCTGTAAAAGCATTGGGCTTACTATGGAGTGCCGACTCAGATGAGTTTAGGTTCTCATTCATGTCATCTAGGCAGGATATCAAGATGACTAAGAGGAACTTCTTGACAGAAACTGCTAGGTTGTTTGATCCTCTAGGGTTCCTAGTTCCATTCACCATAAGAGCTAGAGTTATCCTGCAAGAGATGTGGCTATCGGGTGTAAACTGGGATGACACTATTAGTCCAGATCTGGAACAAAAAGCATGGACTTGGTACCAAGAGGTTGAAAGCTTGTGCTCGCTTAGAGTTCCAAGGGGACTCAGGGCTTCAGAAGTAGCGTTTGGAGCTGTAGTTTTCTCAGTTACAACTCAAGGGGATTGTCAAAGGACTAGTCATCTGGTAGCTTCAAAGTGTCGTGTAGCCCCTCTCAAAGCAGTTAGTATGCCACGGTTGGAGCTTCTCGCTGCTGTTCTTGGGGTTAGACTGATTCTTGCAGTAGCAAAGGCATTAGAGTTGCCTCTACAATGTGTAACATTGTGGTCTGACAGTCAGAACGTCCTTTGGTGGATTAGAAGACAAAGTAGATGTTTTAAACCATTTGTAGCAAACAGGATTGCATACATACAGGAACATACAAACATCAGTCAATGGAAATATGTCCCTTCCAAGCAAAATGCTGCAGACATTCTTAGCAGAGGTGCAGATGTTGAAACCCTTTCCATTGACAAATGGCTGCATGGACCTACATTTCTGACTCGTGATGAAGATTAGTGGCCAAAACAGACAGTTGCCTTTCACAACTGTGAGAATCCAGAACTAAAATGGCCTTCTCAAGTAAACGTAGTCATGTTTACTAAAGCTGACTCAAACACTGATAGGTTAGAACCAAATAGATATTCTAACTGGAAGAGACTCTGCAGAGTGTATGCTTGGGTCTATAGGTTTCTTAACAATGCTAGAGCTCCATGTTCACTTAGAAAGAAGGGTGAACTGGATGCGGAGGACATTGAGGACGCAGAAACAGCAATACTTGTAAGAAATCAAAGGGAAGAATTTCCTGATGATTACTCTTCACTGATGAGAAAATCAGAGTTGTCAGCAAACAGTAAGTTGGTCGGCCTACATTGTCTTTTGATGCCAGACATCCTATTATACTCCAAAGACATTCCTGGGTCACCAAACTGGTTGTCAAATATTATCATGAGCAGGTAAGTCACATGGGTACAAATAGTACGTTATCGGCCTTGTCCACTAGATTCTGGATTATTTCAGCTAGAGAGGAAATACGTCAGTGGGAAAGACAGTGTTCATGGTGTAGAAGGCAAAAAGCCAAACCAGCACATCAGATAATGGCAGATCTCCCTAAGGTTAGGGTACGATGTTCAATGAAAGCATTTGTGACAACAGGTGTGGATTATGCAGGTCCGTTTTACACGGTACAAGGTCGAGGTAAGAGTCGACAAAAACGTTATCTCTGCCTTTTCACATGTCTGTCAACACGAGCAGTACATTTAGAAATGGCTTTTGGGTTAGACACGGATTCGTTTCTGAATGCCTTGTTTCGTATGGCGCACAGGCGTGGTATGCCAAAGGAAATAATCTCAGACAAGCGGGACTAACCGTTGGGGCTGCAAAAGAGCTGAAACAGCTTGTTGCTGGCCTAGATTCAGGCGTAGTTAAATCAACTTTGGCAAACAAAAGTGTCAACTGGATTTTCAATCCCCCAAATGCGCCATACTTTGGAGGAGTCTTTGAGTCGTTGGTGAAGTCGGCCAAAAGAACTATGTATGCTATTTTGAGTTCAGGGGATGTTAGTGATGAGGAACTCATGACAGCCATCATAGGAGTGGAAGCTCTTATGAATTTTAGACCTTTGACGTATCAAAGCACACATCCACAGGATAATGTTCCACTCACGCCCAATCATTTCCTACATGGTCAGGTAGGTGGGGAATTTGCGCCAGAGTTGGACTCTACCTCCTTCAGCCCTAAGAAGCGATGGAGAAGAGTTCAAGAACTCATTAGACACGTGTGGAAACGATGGATGAGAGAGTGGCTCCCATCTCTCAACATCAGGAAGAAATGGTTCACACCATGTCGAGACCTACAGGTGGATGACGTTGTGATTGTAGTATCTTCGGATACTCCTCGTGGAGTTTGGCCTCTAGGCAGAGTATTGAAGACCTATCCTGGAAAGGATGGTCACATGCGCGTTCTTGATGTTCAGGTTGGCTCTACAGTCTTGAAAAGGCCTATCACAAAGGTCTGCCCTCTTGAATGGAGTTAATTGGTGAAATGATGCTTCTAACAGCAAATGATGTACATACTCATAGATAGTTTTCCTTGTTTCTCCCATTTAGTCAGTTTTAATGATAGACAGGGGTCTATCATGGAGGGGGGCATGTTCTGAAGGCATTTTGGTTTTATCACTGAAACTGCTCGCTCAAACGCACTCAGTGCTTACTAGGCGTATCACCCGAACACACCTGGTGAAGTGCACGGGAAAAACGAATAGGTTTTGCATATATAAGACGGTGGTCAGCGATACACGGCCCATTCGCTCCTTTCTGCTATTCATTACAGGTCGTGTGTAGGCATTTATTTAGACATTTAGACTACGAATGACTTAGATGTTAGATGTGTAGGTTCAATTGGCTATTGTGGCGTTAGATTGTTGAACTTGCATTAGTATGGTTAAAGGTTAGGCAATTAGCGGTAGTTAGCGGGTCATTTCATTTCAAAATTCATTTAGAATCACTTAAGAGAATCACGTTTAGTTCTTTGTAAATTCAGTAGTTTTCTCACTTATAATAGTTATCACGTTTAGTTCCTTGTTTTAGGCCAAAAGGTAAGTTCAAAATTTTAGTTGATTAGGAATTCAGTTAATTTGCATAGCTCTGCCCAATCGTTTTATTTGCCACATAAATATAAATAGTACACATGTCTATCATTTACTAATACCCAACAGCTTTCTTATATTTGAAAATTTTCCAGACTCCACCAAAAAAGTTCTTTAAGAAACTATCGTTAAAATTTTGACACTGTTAACTATTTGTTACGAGGGAGGAGTACAGAGAAAGGGACAGCCAGGTGTGCGAGAAAGGATGGAGACGGCACAGCACAGGCACTGGCTGTCCCTTTCTCTGCACTCCTCCCTCGTAACAAATAGTTAACTGTGTCAAAATTTTAAAGAACTTTTTTGGTTGAGTCCGGAAAATTTTCAAATATAAGAAAGCTTTGGGTATTAGTAAATGATAAACGTGTACTATTTATATTTATGTGGCAATTTTGTACAATGATAAAATTGCAATTCATCGGTCTGTTTCCGACTCAAACGGACTGTAGGAGCAAATATTGTTAGCTATATTTTATGTTTCAGCATAGCCTGCATAGAAATATGTGCCTCTCATCAGGGATTAGGATTGAGAGCTTTCACAATGGGCCATTTTCAGGATTATTAGCCATTTTCTGCCCTTTGAATCAATAGTAAACTTCAAAATTTTAATGGGCCATTTTTTATTCTAATGTACAGAATGGCCCATGGCCTCTGCCTTTTCCAATCCCTGCTCTCATTGATTGGAAATTTAGTATTGATGTATCGAATCAAATATATTGACAGGTCCATATATTTAATATTACCTGGTAGTTGCGTGGTGTAAAGAAGTTGACATCCATATATTCTTGCCTTTACCTGGTAGTTATTTAGTATATCATTGTTGTGTTTATTTCCAGGTATCGTCCGTGCCAACAGTTGTGGGTATAAGGAATGGACAGCCACATGGAAAGTTTATAGGATTACAGGAGGACGACATTATTGACTCTTTTGTTGAAAGACTCATCAACTAATGATGTAGATATTTTATGTTCTTAATTGCATATGTTAAACATCCAAGAATTATTCAAGATTTCAGCATTATTTGTCAGTGTTTTGAGAAATAATGATTACCAACATTAATGTTGAATATGAAATTTACAATGAATCTGTGTGAAAATGCCAAGTTGTAACAAACATCTTCACATTATTAGTAAGTCCAGCTAAACTGTCATACATAAATATATAGTTAAGCAGCTTTAATAAAACTACAGTGTGTGTGTTCTGATTGTAGTTATGACAGCAATATCAGATAATCAGATTACCACAAAATGTGTTATTTGTCTATGGTGTATAATATATGTATGTTCATGGTTGCTATTATTGAACTGTACATAATAAACCGAAACTCTTAATGTTTGAAGTTGTTTTGGTGTTGTGGAGTTGCAAGACATGACATATATTTGGTTTCACACCGACGTGTTGTTCCATTGTCAAACTGAATAGCTAGAAGTTAGTGTGCTTTTTCAATCCATTTAGCAATATTCCAACTATTTTGCCTTGACCTTTCAGTAACTAAGTTTGGACCAGATAAATACAATTGACCAGGTCACCATGACGAACCACATCTTATGCAAAGCAGACATCTACTAGGACTATCTTAGCCCATATTTCGTACTGCAGACAACTTCTTCCATCGTCCACCGTTCATTGACATTCACATGATTTCATGATCTTCTTTGTGTTAAAGTTGAGTGAGCATTTAGCAGCACTTCACCCATACCACAGGACACAAGAATTGGGCTTCAAACATTATAGCCACATAGGGAATTGAACCCAGGATTTCAGCAAGAGGAGACAATATTTTACCACAAGGCTACCCATTGCCCCTACTATGTGAATGGAACGACCCACTTGGCTCAGATAAAGTTTGTGTTACAATGGTTGATAACAGGTTGATAGGCAATCCAAGACACGACACTGTGCTATATACAAGATTGTTTATTTGTGCTATCTGACATGCAGGACTTCAATGCAATAGGATCCCACTTTCTGTTGAGTGACAGGTGTACATTTCTTCTTGAACTGGGACAGGACTGCTTCCAGGGTGGCCAGTTGGTTGCAGAACTCCACCTGTCAATCAGACATATTGCATGTCATTTCCATTGTATTCATTTTGTTGTTTAATGTCTCACTCGGTGATTTATCAGTGAAGATTGACCTTCAGCATTTTATTCAACTTAGAATAAAAGTTGTTTAAGAAACGACCATAGTTTCAAATCGCTATTATTGGTTTGTATTACAAGGGGGTATGCACATTAAATGAAACACCGAGAACAAGCAGAGTTGGTCTAAGTTAACGCTCATCACGTAACGCAGCATTTGTTTCACTGTTCCAACTACTCGCTTACCTCCATGTAATACAAACCAGTAATAGGGATTTGAATGTAAGATCGTTTGTTTAACAACTTTTATCCTAAGATGAGTAAAATTCTGAGATTTAAATGTTCAATTGGCAAGGTAAAATTATGAGAATTTGCAATCTTAATTTCACTCTATTTGATGTACTTTATGTTTAAAGTGAAATTCATCAGTACGTTTCACTGCAAACAGACAAAAGATTCATCATTGTTATTGTCATGCATTCATCACTGTACACTACATCCTACTAAGATGCTAAGAATAAATAACACCAAGCACCAACTTACTCTTCAGTATTTACATTTAAGCCTATTCTCCTAGTTCATTAAGGCCAGACCTGTGAAGATCCGGGGTAGAATAGGTCTTCAGCAACCCATTCTTGTCATAAAAGGCGACTATGCTTGTCGTAAAAAGGCGACTTACGGGATCGGGTGGTCAGGCTCGCTGACTTGGTTGACACATGTCATCTGTTCCCAATTGCGCAGATCGATGCTCATGCTGTTGATCACTGGGTTGTCTGGTCCAGACTCGATTATTTACAGACCGCCGCCATATAGCTGGAATATTGCTGAGTGCGGTGTAAAACTAAACTCACTCACTCACTCATTAAGGCCAAGTTGTCTGTAAAGAAAGCTAATAAGTAAAGACTTTAATTGTTACTGCATCTGGATAGGTCTGTATTTAATACTAAATACCTGATCTCCAACAGCTTCATGGAGGTTGCCTAGCAACATTCTGGCATCAGGGGAGACAATCAGTTGTGTGACATGTGCATCAATCAACAGTGATATCCAATCAATGACCTGAAACAGTATTACCAGTATCATGATAATATTATGTTACAAACAGTAGTTCTTTCTACTTTTATAAAAGTAAACAGCAAGACATTTTCCAGTTAATTCAGAGCCAGGAATTTAGTGGCCAGTGGCATTTTCAGTAAAATTGACACAAGGAAGCTCATAATACAAAATTATAGAGAAATTACACAAGAAACTTAACAAGTCTTAAGTCGTCTCTACTTCCAGAATAAAGAGATTTGATTGACTTCTCCATTAAGAAAGCATCCACTGGAACTGTAATGTTAGAAATACCTGAACACCGTAATATTCAGTCGGACTAACACGTCTGTAGTTCTTCACAGGACAGTATATTACTTCTTATAATTCAACATTTCATAACAGCATTTGCCAATACAGCATAATTATCTGCCTAATTACTATGCTGATATCAGCTTTACAAAACATCCATATCCAGACCATGCAATAAGTTGCCAGCATCTCTAGCACTGTGTAACTACATGTATCAACCTTTCTCCACCAAAGGAGGGAAGGAGTGTTCATATTCTAAATGGATAACTAGGAACAGTGCCAATAAGAGCTGAACTATGCGGACATATGCCACAAAGTGACTGTTATTAAAGCTACACATTACCAGTAATGAAGGAACAGAGTGTTTACCTTGCTGAGAGCTGGGACACCAGTCCTGTGCTCGCCTGCCATAGGAAGCACCTTCAGGAGGTAGTACAGATAGTCCAGCTGTCTGCAAGAGATCATATATGTGTCAATTTAATGCGGGGAAAGACTGACTGACTGACTGAGTTTGGTTTTACGCCACTTTTAGCAATATTCCAGCAACATCACGGCAGGGGACACCAGAAATGGGCTTCACATATTGTACCCATGTGGGGATTCAAACCGGGTTTTCGGTGTGACGAGCCAACGCTTTAACCACCAGGCTACCCCACTGCCCCTTAGACAACTTGAAATAAAAACAGTAAGGTGCTGACAAACCCAGCAAATAGAAATAAGTCGGGGAAATTTGGGAGACAAATACACAATTATATGTTTCTGACACACCTGAGTGACATGATCTTTTATGGCAAATTGTGGTGCCCCATGGGGAGGATGGAGAGGCTGTGAGGGGATTAACATCACTTGGTAAAATACATATAATTATCATGAAACAGCCCTCCTTTTATCAGAAATTTGTGGGCCGCTGCAAATGATATTGGACCACTCAACCTTAACGACGGGCCACTGTCAGTTCTGTTGTTAAGTGACGTCATAGTGTGTGTGGGGGCTTACGGTTCATTCAACATTAGCTTTGCACTGGCAGATATTCTGGGACAAACAAGTCAAAGCAACCCCAATTCCCGCTTTAAATAGCGGTAATATTGGCTTTCTTGCTGGCGCTAACATTAACAATTGGACTATTAACGTTGTTGTTGGACCAAAACCAAACACTGAAAACTGACGTTGTGTCTGACATAGTTTGACATGTTGCAGGCCATGGTCTTGTCAAAGGCCAAGGTTGAATATCGTCATGGTCTGTTGAGAGGTCACTTGAATTGTTCGATGACATAATTGCATTCGGTCAGTCAACCCCGTCAGAAGTTGGGTTTTGAGTAAACTTACAGTCAAATTCCTTCATTGTTTCCTTTTTCTTTTCAACACAAATTCCATGTATTTTAGCAATAATAACGGTAATGCTATTTTTGAGGGCATTATCATTTGCAGAAGCCCTCAGTCTTTTTCAACTGCCCTCCTTTGTCGGGCAGTTAATGGAAGACCTAAGGCTTCTGCAAATGATAATGCCCTCAAAAATGGCATTACCCTTATATTATATCCTGACATGTCAAACTGAAAGGACAGGCTATGGTTGAAGCCTGGTAACAATGCTGGCAAGCCAACAATCATAATCACACAGGATAACTCAGACAATAACTCCTGTCACAACTAAGGGGAGCAATCTGTCGTCACTGTAAACGTAATATAGCTGCTGAGACAATGTTGTACATGACAATCAGACATTTTGTAATGCTCAAAAGTATCTCAAGTTGAAAAACTATTGCCATCTTTACGGAGGGGTTAATCTACTTCATGTCACCTTCAAACTATACCACAGATCCCCAGAGGTTTGAGATAGGGTTCAGCTGTACTTACCAAAACATTCTTAAAAAGGCAGTTTCCTGAGAGAGTCCACCAAAAACACATCATTAAATGGCAGACAGAAGAGACGGTTACTGGATTTGATTAAGGATAAACCTTTACATTATTTCAAATCTTTGCTACATCATAATAGTATCAATTAATTGAATTTTTTTTCTCAGTCTAAGTAAACTTAGGCTCAGTATTATTCGTTACACTATATAGCAGTGTAACGAATACTGATTAGACTGATTTTTTTCTGTGAACTAACTGTTTTGATAAAAACATCCAGATTTAAACCTTGATCTTTACTGAGATCTGAACTGCAACCATTTGCAGTGAGTAGGGGAACACAATTCACCAGGCCATACACCTTCCTCTACATAAATAGCCTGTGATTTTGTTTATCACTCCTATCAGCTGAATTAGAGTGGAATGACCAAAGTGGGCACATAGGTACATATGTGTGTTCCTTATCATGCCAATTTGAAATTATTATTAAAACTTGTTTCTCAGACCCATTCCACAGAGTGATCATATCATTATGACCATGTCTATCTAAGTACTTCAGAGAGTGAGTGAGTTTAGTTATACGTTCCTGTTAGCAATATTACAGTTATATCATGGCTTCACAACTCTAAGAACTGCAGACAACAAGTTAGTGCTACAATCAATTTTTTGGACAGGGTAATGAAATGTGCTCAAAATATTAATTATCTTAAAATACACATTGAGCGATCTAAAAATCACACAAGTTGTGCACAAATGACTGATGATGAAATTCTGCCAATTTTCAACGCTAGTTCTCAGCTGACACTCTTGTACAGAAGGATACAGTAGTACAGCCTTGGAGCTGCAGATGGGGCATGTCATGTCCTCGGATATCTCCAACATGTCATCAGCGATGGCGATGCTGTTACATTCTTCTGTACATTCTTCATCTGATATACTGAAACGGTGCATGTATATATAATTAGGAATATTTCATAAGCTGGAACTTCTGACTTCTAGAGTACAGAGGATGACTCAGTATATTATAAAATAAAAATATATCAAGAGTTAATTCCCCTTGGATATTTTTCATGAAAGTTTATAAAGGAGCTTTTCACTTGAATCCCAAAGAAGTAAATGCCACTCAAGCTTCACATATATGAATTACATCTGAAATAAATAGTGTAAAAGCTAGACAACCACAGACAGTGATTTCACTTACTCCAGGTAACAAGAGAGGCTTTTGACAAGAGAGTCTTCGGCCACGTCTGGCATGACACTGAAGGACTGATGCATCAGCAGGATGTCCTTGTGGTCAGCGAGAGCTTGGTACAGGGCGGGCTGGTCACTGCAACATAGTGGAATTACCATGTCATCAACGATTACAACAAAACTCGCCTTTTGTTGTATCAAAGGCAATGTTCGTAAAATGTTGAAACACATGAACCCATCATCATCTATGCAGTTATAAACAGTAGGGCTGCACGGCAATACCGGTATATCGCAAAACGCTTTTCAAACGATATTTTTTTCTGAGAACCGGTATATTGGGTAAAGAACATATATGAGGTGTTTGGGATTATCTTTATGGTTTAGACTAAAATCTACACACTTTCATTCACAACAAATGTTTTCCTTCGTTATTCAATGACAAAACGGCATACTACAATACTATAAATTGTATAGAGGTGAGGTGAGGTGAAATTGGGCTTAACGTCATGCTTGGGAATATTTCGCTCATATGACGACGTGCATGCGTGTGTATGTGTATGTGTGGCTGCTTGTAATAGCTCAGACTGAAGCTGGTTTTATAGTGCTAGCCCACTGAGATACCATGCCACAGTGAAGCATGAATACCCTACTCAGACACATTATACTGACTCCGAGCCGACCAGTCCTTGTTGTACCCATTAATGCTGAGCGCCAGGCAGGGACCAACAAGTACCATATTTTAACGTCTTTTGGTATGACGCGGTCGGGGATCGAACCCGCGACCTTCCGCTCTCCGTGCGGACGCTCTAACCACTACACCACGGAGGCGGTCATAAATTGTATAGAAAAGAAAATTGAATCCCTAACTATGCAACCTAAGTTTGAGGCTGCTGTTATCAGAACCATAACATATATGTTTAGGGATTTATAATGTAGAAAATACAATTGACATGCACAATTAGTGTCACTCACTGTCACACACTGAAGTCCCAATATATCGCAATACGCATCACAAAATGGGTATCTGAATCACAATATATTGCAATACAATTTATTTGCCAATACACAGTCCTAATAAACAGTAAATGAAACGGGTAGTCAAATTGCAAACACAGAAGAAAGCATAGCACTGTGATTTTAATTGAAAATATTCTAAGGTTGTGACCGGTTGAGGGGCATGACACAGCCCTTATCATCCCTCTCTCATAACTAAACCCCCTAACCATCCACCCATGTCGAGAAGATGTGTCTATATTTATTTCCTGGGTATCTGATCCAATATTAAGCGACCCTACTTAGGTACCTCTTACAGGTATGAACAGTCGTGAAAAACGGGTCAAACTGGGAGTTGTTTCACAGCAACCCTGGCAAATGCATGCACTTGCATATATCAAGAAATCTTATCATGACTGACTGAGTTTGGTTTTATCTACCCCACCGCCCCAAATCTGATCATGCATACACTAATGTTGCCTGAAGGTTATTCTTTATTCAAACTAATCAGCGGAATGAATGCATGGTCAGACAGAAAGGCGAACTTTAGTGGCTTGTTGTGTAACAGTGGAATTATAGCAAGATTTTGTCATGAACCAAATATATGACTGGCCAGAGGTCCAAGTAGTCCTGTGGGTACCGCTCAGTACCCACCCAACCCAGGTACCTGTGTTACCCCTCCTGGCAATTAGCTGATCAGTACTTATAAACCTCTAGTGACGTCAAGCTGGGTTCTTCTTTAACAGGGTAAACCTCTGCAGGCAGTTTCTCGGGCATTCTCCAAGAAATCCCAGGCATTTCTTAAGGACTGCCCTGGGCTTTCGTGATGAATAGCCATTGAGGTTTGAATTATTTTACTTGTACAAGTTTTGAAGACTGATATAACTTTGTTTTGCTATTACTGAATACGATCATAAAATATCACAAAATTGAAAACTTCCAATACATTGTATTGATGCCTGTCTTCAAACCTGCAACCCTTTGCTTACTAGCTTGGCGATTTTATCCACTAGGCTTCGAAGGATCGCTGTGAAGTATGTGATTGTTTGTCAGCATGAACCATGTGTTCCTCACAATATTCCAGCAACTCACAAGAATGTTCTTCACAAAAAGGCCATGTGCAAGGCAAGGTATCGGCTGCCAGTCGCATGCCAGTTCATTTCAACAGTATAAAGAATTGAAGCCTTGGTTTTGTTGTCAACGAAATGCTTTAATGTAAATGTACATGCCATCGGTATTATACGTAGGATAACAAAACCCGAGTCGGTTTTGATCCTTCATGACAAAACTATCAATAAACACACAATGTTTTGTTTGTTTGTGAAAAGATGCAGCTGACAATATTGCAGCCATATCACCAAAGACGGTTCCTGCATTCAATCTGAACACCTGCATTCAATCTGTACACCTGCATTCAATCTGAACACCTGCATTCAATCTGAACACCTGCATTCAATCTGAACACCTGCATTCAATCTGTACACCTGCATTCAATTCGAAATCTGCATTCAAACACCTGCATTCAATCTGAACACCTGCATTCAATCTGTACACCTGCATTCAATCTGCACATCTGCATTCAATCTGAACACCTGCATTCAATCTCTACACCTGCATTCAATCTGTACACCTGCGTTCAATCTGAACACCTGCATTCAATCTGAACACCTGCATTCAATCTGAACACCTGCGTTCAATCTGAACACCTGCATTCAATCTGAACACCTGCATTCAATCTGAACACCGGCATTCAATCTGAACACCTGCATTCAATCTGTACAGCTATACAGAAATAACAGTCAGGTGTGTACAAAGAAACTTGCAAATGTTCTTTAGTGCAGGGTTTTATTAGACATGTAAATGTGTGTCCAGTGCCCTCAAATGTAGAGGATGGACACAGAAAAAATAATTCACTGCTTCCAGAAGCCTGCACAATATTATTCATTTATTCATTGTACCCACAACACATCTATGGCTTTGGTAATAGTCTTGTTGTTTCTTTCACAGTAGTTACATGCATCACGTCATCCATCAGTCACATGATCAATGATATATTCCAGGCTCTAAATCAAAACATACAGTTCTCTACACAGCAACTTCATAGGACCCTTGTATTGCCTGCAAGGCCCTTAAAACTAATAATTAGGGGTCCCAGGACCCCTATGTTTGTGAGTTGAGGTAAAACCCTGTTTAGTGGCTTATCAGCCTGTTAGCAGTTCATTCAGATGAATCTAGACTTAATGCCAGAGGTGCTGTGTGTTACCTGTTAGAGATGAGCCTGTGTTCTATGAGCTGCTGTATCTCAGCTCGAGGCCAGAAGGCTGTGTGTGAGAAACATGTCTGACACAGCTGGGACATGTGAGAGCTGAGGATCCACTGCCGGTTGACTGGCTGGGACAACAGTTCCACCAGCTTTCTGAACTCATTCTCAAACTTCTCCCTCGACTTTGTCTGCAGCTCAGAAAACAAAACATGTTGCACACAGTACTCCTGTTGTCATTGTAACACATTGTACATGTAACACTTCACCTTACATCACAATACAACTATCTGTCCCTTCAACAATCAGCTAGGGGCGGTGGGGTAGCCTAGTGGTTAAAGTGTTCGCTCGTCACGCCAAAGACCCGGGTTCGAATCCCCACATGGGTACAATGTGTGAAGCCCATTTCTGGCGTCCCCCGCCGTGATATTGCTGGAATATTGCTAAAAAGCGGCGTAAAACCATACTCACTCACTCACTCAACAATCAGCCAGAGGGTGTAACATGGCCAAATGGTAAAGGTTTGTTGTGTAACACTACATTCGGGAATATTCCAGTTATATGATGGCAGTCTGCACTTAATCTAGTCTAGACCACACAATCATGTGATTGATATCATGAGCATCTGCCTATGCATTGATGACATGCATTAACTAAGTCAAAGATCCTGACCACTCTCCATGAGGAACTACTTGAAGTGTTGGTTCATCCACAGAGGATTATAGTGTGTGAAGCCCATTCTTGCATGAAATATTGGCAAAAGTTATCCTGGCTGGGATGTATTTATGAAGTTTAAAATGGAGCAATGGTCTACCTATCAAAGCTGCTGGGGCATGGCTGGTCTAGCTATCAAAGCAGCTGGGGCATGGCTGGTCTAGCTATCAAAGCAGCTGGGGCATGGCTGGTCTAGCTATCAAAGCAGATGGGGCATGGTCGGTCTAGCTATCAAAGCAGCTGGGGCATGGCTGGTGTAGCTATCAAAGCAGGTGGGGCATGGCTGGTCTAGCTATCAAAGGCTGTGCAGAGTTGTATCCCTTGAGCACACGACAAAGCTGTCGTCCTGGGTTCAAATCCAGGTTTATCCCTAATGTTTTTAGGTTAGTCATTACTATATCCATGCATCATTTCTGCCTGTCCTCCTGCATTAAGCTGATCAGCCATGATATAACTGGAATACTGTTCATGGGAGCAGAAAAGTAACATCTATGAAAGAACAACACAATATGAAGGAGGCATCCATATTGTTTTGTGTCTCACTTATCTCAATGTCCTGCTGAAAAATATTTAAGATCTGATAAATTGTTTACTCTATATTGTATATTGCTTTTTGTCCAGCAGCAAAAGTCAGTTCAGAATTCGAAAACTTCACCTGCAAGGTCTGTTTGTTGCAAAAGGAAATTCACTGTTTTTTATCATTGGATGACAAACATTAAGGCAGGTGATTGGGTAGATATAGAAAATGATTGGAGAAAAAACACAGATACCATAACATGATCTTTTCTTACCTTTGTCTTGTCGATAAGACTTGTGAACAGATTCTCAATCTTCCAATTACCAGGCCCCTTCTGAAAACACAATGCCTTAACTCAGCTTGAGGATATATGTTTACAACTACTGTAATCGTGGAACCTGTAGCCTTGCTTAAACAAATTGTTGGCATTGTAGAACTGTCATCATGTAATTTCATATAATTCTTTCATTTCTATTAGATGTACATTTTTATAAGGACAGTACAGTTGACCAAGAAAAAATATTGTCTTGATATTCATGGGACCAAGAAAAACTTGAGTTATCCGAACTTCGAGACATCCGACCAGGGCATATCAACACTTATCACTACGAACGAAAAGAAAAGAAAAAGTAGATTTCATGTATATTTATTTGTATATACATTTTACTCACAGGGATCACAATCACACACCATACAGCTCATGTTACAGTGTCCATCTTGAATGATACAAAAGTTGGACTTATTCAACAAACGAAACGAAGAATTCTAAAACTTTAGACTGACAGGCATTTGGTGGTGGCATGATAGCTAGTCACGTTATTACACAAAACCCTCACGGGATTCTCAGTATGTTTTTATTCAAAACTATAATCTGTTATCAGTAGTGTTTAGTCGTAACAGTGAGTACTTCCTAAGTACTTCTTTCTTAATCAATCCTAATTAAATAACAAACAAATGACACCTTCAACTCAATTAGCCCTAATTAGTTTACACTAGTGCATCCCTTTGATTTTGCAATTTTCTTTGCAAATATCGAGTTAAAAGGGTCATTTTGCTTGTTGGCACCATGAAATTATATTGAGATATCCGAAACAACAACACATTTGTATCGAGTTAAAAGAGCTTGAATAATGATAAATTATGAAGGATTTTGCCGGCACCAAGATGTTATATAGAGACAACTGAGAAATCGTGTTATCAGAGTTCGACACAATGGTGCTCGACTGTATTATCTTGTATTAATACTTTGACTTTTGAATGTCAATTCAATTCATTATTGCTTTGTGATGAAATTTACTACAGATAATTTATTGTACACATTACTGAGTCTAGCGAGTCACATGTGAAGAGAGATGCTAGTTTCCTTAGTAACAGTTTATATCAATCCATAAATACAATTTAATATTTTACATCCAAATTTAAGATTGATAACTGTAAAGATAATAGTTAAATGCCTTTTAATTAAAAGCATGATTAATGAAATGAAATAACACATTTTAGGTCAAAACTTTAAAAACGTGGCCCTACAAAAGACACTTGATTCCATGTAGCCCACAACGTCATAACAACCCCTTGTTTTTCTATGGGGCCAAACCTCATATAAAACAGTGTTATTAGAGCTACACATGTCTAAAGCAGCTGTATTACCTATTATTGTGATCGTTTCACCAAAAACTAAAAGTTGTGTCTCTAATCCATGATTTCCTGTTCAGTACAATATAATGACTATGTGATACAAAAAATCCCACCTGAGCTGGCTTCTGATTGGTGGACCAACTGACAACACCATCAGTCAAGCTGGTGACCTTTCCAGTGTCCTTGACCTTGTCCCTCTGACCCAGTAACCTAGCAACTGTTGATGGCTCACACTTATAAGGGAAGGCATACAGCGTTTTGTTGCAGGCAAGGAATAAGTGGCCATAATGACAGAACAGCTGCAATCATAAAGCATCCTCATAACAAACCAAATAAATACAACATCACCAATCGCGGATTACCATCACAGAGTACTTATTTGTTGTCAGGAGGTATAAATCAGATTAATATGACTCTGTTAACATACATCTCACTCACCTTAGGACTTGTCAGCATTGGTTCTGGGAATGGTTGCCAAGACTGCATAGCCTGGAATTTCACATTGTAGATACCAAGTCCCACTGAAAATTTAAATGCAGTGCTTTGATTTCAAGTGCATATATTAGCACATGACATTGAGTTAACTCAATCAAATCGGTTCGCGTTATATAGCAGCTTTCATTCGGTTATTACTATTCATGATCTGTATATCATGGCGGAGTTACAATGTTCCCAGCAATCTGGGGGGATAAACAGATCGGAAACATCAACTCCAAAACGTAAGCGCATTCTAAAAGTGCACACTATTGACAAGAAGTTTGCAGCGATCACTGCAGTGGAGGCAGGTACCAAATCCAAGAGTGAAATTGCGAGAGTTTGAAATTCCGCCTAACACTCTTTCTACTTGGTTCTGTGAAGGACTGGAGGAATTTCTCGAGTCGGTCCCAGGTACAAACAACGAACATTTTTCCCACTTGGTTAGCGTCCGTGAATTTGAGGATAAATGTAAGGGAAATTCACAGAAACAAACATTAATGTCAGACTTTTTCCAGAAGTGAGTTCATCTTTTTGTATTAATAAGATTCAAGATGGCGGCATGTACAAGTATATCTATCGATTGCCGATAGATTTTGTTCATGGATTTTAAGAGGTAAATGTACATGTATTTTGTATTTTATTGCTAGTATTGAAATGTGTTCTCATTTGTATACTGTTTGTTTCCATTATCCTTTATTATCCATTATCTATGTCACCTAATGTATTGTTGTGCTATATTTAGATATGATGTGCTGAATAAAGGAATTGTTCAATATTCAATCGTCTTTTTTTTCTACCCTCATAGACATACCTATGTCTCGAATACATCGATAAGCCGAATCTTTTACTTGGTCCCCAGCGATTCGACTCATCGGGATTTGACTGTAATTCCATAATGCTGTGAGTGAGTGAGTGAGTGAAGTGAGTGAGTGGGTGAGTGAGTGAGTGAGTGAGTGAGTGAGTGAGTGAGTGAGTGAGTGAGTGAGTGAGTGAGTGAGTGAGTGAGTGAGTGAGTGAGTGAGTGAGTGAGTGAGTGAGTGAGTGAGTGAGTGAGTGAGTGAGTGAGTGAGTGAGTGAGTGGAGTGAGTGAGAGTGAGTGAGTGAGTGAGTGAGTGAGTGAGTGAGTGGTGAGTGAGTGAGTGAGTGGAGGTGAGTGAGGTGAGTGAGTGAGTGAGTGAGTGAGTGAGTGAGTGAGTGAGTGAGTGAGTGAGTGAGTGAGTGAGTGAGTGAGTGAGTGAGTGAGTGAGTGAGTGAGTGAGTTTTAACTCTTCTTTTAAGAATATTCCCACAGGATCCAAGGACATTTCCAAAGGAGTTCAGGCTTCCTTTTCTCAGTATGACAGAGCAAAGCGCTAATGGTTCATAAACAGCACATGTGATTCCTCTTTCTCAAAAGAGAACTAAAGTTCAGAATATCATTATAGTACCTACCCCTGCTGTTTCCGAGTCCCAAAAGGAAATACCATCAAATGAATATTGTATGTCAGTATTAATATGTGCACATCAGAATTTATGAATCATGGTAAAACTCAAGCAGAATCAAGAGCTGACTGTCACAAGAACCCACAAAGATCTAATTTCAATGAGGTTTTGATTTGACTGGTACAAAGAGTTGTCAGTGACATCAATTTGGGACTCCAAATCTCAATTCGAATTACAAGCCCAACCTTCAGCCCCAGCCCTCCACCAGCCTCACACCCAGCCTTGGACTCATGTCCATTTTCAGCCCCACCTCCAGTCTCATCCTACCTCCACCCCTAGCCCCACGAGCCATAGCCCCCATCCCTAGCCTTAGCCCCACTACTCCTCCAGCCCCACCCCCTTCTCTAGGTCCACCTCCAGTCTCACCCTACCTCCACCCCTAACTTCACCTCCAGTCCTAGCCCCACCTCCAGCCCCACCCCTCGTCCAGCGCTGACCAACCTGTGGTGTTGTTCTTGATGCCAGCCACGGCAATGTGGGTGTGGTCCAGGTAGATCATGCAGGAGCCTGCCTGAACACCGGAGATGGTTGCCACCTCCTGATTGTCATCAATGTTGGACGACCCAGCCAGTGGCAGGTCCATCAGTCGGCCATCTTGCCCTGGAACGTAAGATAAGACACTTAGACAATTGATGAGCTGACATTGTTTCATGATTAAGGATAGCATTCCAGGACATGCAATAAACCGAATAGTTGTTGAGGGAGAAAAACATTTACAAACTGATGACTCCTGGAAAACGTATTTTGGGACAAAAACCAATACCGAAATAATGGCCATACTACACATCAACTGACAATCTTTTGGTGGAACAATAGATCCTGTTGAAATAACGATCAAATCCATTTCATTTTTCATTCATTATAAATACTGACTGAAATTTGGTGTTGGAAAGAGAAATTAATCTAAATATGACTTTTGGCCCAAGACTCTACAAACTAAAAGGCCTTACACAGTGACAGGAGACTGGGTTCTGCCTTCAGGGAGAGGCAACAGCTGAGTAGGGTGTTGGCCGACAGGGACAGGGGCGTGGTCTTCAGGCTCCAGCACTCCGCATCAGACAGATAGGTGTGACGGTGGACGCTCACTAGCTCATCCTGGAATACATGGCAGACTGTGAATTCTCTTGACTGCTGTCTGTAATTACTCCTCTGTAGTATTCAGTTAGGAAGCTATGTGTGACATGTTTATCAAATTATATCTTCTGTGTTGTTCAAAATAGTCTGTTGGGCAATTTGTTTCAAGTATTTGTTGCTGGCCTGTTTAACATCATAACTGCATTTACATCATGACTTTGTTTACATTTACAAGTGTGTTTGAATATCAGGTGATTGCAGGTAAAGTCTGTTTACAGAACAAATCTTTTTACTCTCAAAGTCTGTTTACATCACAAATTGGAAGTAAGAAATGGGCGTCATTTTCAATTACAGCCACACAAAACATCATCTATGTCCCAGCTGACATGGGGTCTGTTTAGTTACACGATGTAGAGGATGTTAGAGGATGTAGAGGATGTTACAGGATGTAGAGGATGTTACAGGATGTAATTACAGGATGTAGTTACCTGTGAAGTCATTAGGTCCATGTCATGACATAAACTTAAGCAAGGACCCACCTGTGTCTTAGTGACCAGAACGACACACACACTGCCAGCAGAGACATAGGACTGGCACCATAAGATGACTTCCCCCTTGGCCAGCGTCCCCGTATCGCGCAGCTATCCTTGATGTTAGCCTGGAAGTCAACACAGCCATTCTCACACACCACGATAGGGTAGAAGTCCGCCTCTACCAGGATCCGCAAGATGCCAGTACTGATCTGAAACATAAGTAATCAGTGTCGAGTCTGAGAGTCTGAGAGTCTGAGAGGATTCTGTGTTCTGTAGTATCACAATAGTGGGTTAGGGGATGGGTTGTGACAGAGTTTTTCATTTGATGCCTTTGATAAGCATGATAAGTGTTAATTGTTTTAAATTTCACTTGTCTAACTAATGGCGAACATGGTATTTCATATGACACTAGACTTTCACAAAGTTTTAGCAGTCCCAAACAAATCAGATTGGTAGACATCTGTTAATTTCTAAATTCTGATGATTTCTCGTGAATTTGCCAAGTGGATCATGTCAAAATTATCAAAATTCTTTCAAATGCCAACACTGAATATAGGACCTTAAGCCTTTTGTTTTTAGCAAGTGTTTTGACCAGTGTTGCCTGGAGTTACCACAAATATATTATCTACTACCATCAACTACCTGTGTACCTAACGCCTCCATGGTGTAGTGGTTAAGCGTTAAAATATGGTACTTGTTGGTCCCTGCCTGGCTTCGGCATTAATTACAACAAGGAGCTGGAGTCAGTATAATGTGTCTTATTCATGCTTCACTGCGGCATGGTATCTCAGTGGGCTAGCACTATAAAACCAGCTTTAGTCTGGGCTAGTACAAGCAGCCGCACATACACATACACACGCATGCACATTGTCATATGAGCGAAATATTCTCAAGCACTACGTTAAACCCAATTTCACCTCGCCTCACCTGTGTACCTACTACTGGCCGTGATATGTTCTGTACATATACATTGAGCGTATCAGGGATCAACATCAGGTGATAACTATCATCAGGGTAACATTATTCAGCAACATAAAATCCACAACTTAAAACTTACATGTTTTTTCTTTGCTTTATCAAAATTTGTTGAATCTGAGGTCCATGACTTCAATTGCTGAAAAGGAATCAAACAGTTGTTGACAGATTACCGGTAAGCAGGCCATTACTGAGAGCAGTTCAACTGAGGTTAACATGGTGAATGGATGAGTGAGTTCGACTTAATGGTGGCTTTAACAATATTCCAGCAATCTAACCCAGGTCATATGATAGTCTCATAATAATCAAATAGTCTTATGATATTATCGTAATTATCGCAAAAAACTGCTCATCCACATGTTCAGAATAGTAACATCAATCTTGAATACATAACACTGCTCATTTACTCCCAACAAAGGATTGTTCTACCACGCTCAGGTAACCACACTTGGAATGGGCATATTCTTCGTTAGTGATTTCATGAGTTGCTCTGTAGCTGTCCATTTTGGGTAGCGATGAGTTGCTGGCATTTGACTATGATCAGTCAAGAAATGAACTGCTGAAAATAAAAAGCTTATGTTCTTACCTGTTTGTTCTGAACTGTGAGATACTCCTCTTTGGTGGGGCTCCATACTGTAGGACAGGTGATTTGGATGCCATGTCGCAGTGACCAACTCCTGGTCAGCTTCTGGTCAGACAACTGCAACAATAACGATGAAACACTTTGAACACATGAATACATGAATACACAATGCCAAATGGCTAAATGTAACATATGCTATATTTTGGATTACACTTTCTCAGTAAAGTACAGATTCTAGTACTTTTGGGAGTTGAGTCCCATCCTGGATTCAAAACCACATTCACAGAGTAAGGCACCTAATCATCATCACACAAAGTCAGCTATCTAACCCACACAGCCACTGTGGCTTCCACAGAAACTGAAGTCTGACAACCTCTACTTCACATACTTTGTGTACCCCCATGTGTAACTTGGCACAGCTCCCATGGCCCAAAGTCATGAATACACATTGCCATTTAAAAAGTGATCAGATGTAACATCTGTTACATTTGGAATTACACTTTCTTGGGCCAAATTTCATTCTTGAGGCAGGTCTAGCCTTATTCCAGTATTGAGTACCTTAAATGATGGAATCTGCGGAATGGTGTCACTATGTTAGGAATCAATGGCATCCGTGATTCGAACTCACACTCGCACTTTTGTTTAGCTTAGTTTCTCTGTTGTTTAACTCCGCACTATATCAGCTATTTGGTGGCGGCATGTAAATATTCGAGTCAGACAATCCAGTGATTACAGTGGGAACATGGTGTACGGCAGGGGTATTGCTCGCTGAATTATTACAATGTTTTCTTGGCTACATCATAACCATTGTGGATAGCATCGTAACATGAATTATGTTTTTTCTTATTAAAAAATGTTACTACCTGCCTTGACACAGGCTGGTTGTTTGTCAAGGTCATGGATCGATTGTCATAAAAACTCAAATTTGTATAACTTAACATAACCCCATGAACATGTCCCACTGTAAAGGCATGTAGCAAAATCCATGCATGTCACTAAAACGTTGGGATTTTGTTGTTGTTGCTTTGCTTTAATGTATTTGAGTGACAGTTAATCGTCAATGAAACGGGTTGTCATTTTCAAAGAATACGTAATCCAATATGTAAAATATTTAATGTACAGTTCGATGCACGAAAATAAGGGACGCAATCATCCAAACACACGTGGATATCGTTTCCCAGTGTGTTTACATTGCTCATTATCAATACATATGCACAGTAATCTACCTTATATTCATTAATGAAACCGGTCTTCGATGTTATTATCACTGCATTGGGTTTTTCTCCCCTTTCTACCCCAATTAGAGCGGATTCTTCTGATAATTTGGCAAGAGAAAACCCATCCGCGAGCGCAGCCATATTGTCATTCCGCACTGAATGGAAACCCGTTTACCCATTCCACTATCCCGCTCAATGAGCTACAAAGGGTGGTCCCGCATATGCTAACCGAAACACTAAGTTTATTTTGAATCACGAACTCTTAGGCTAACCCTTAATCTGTGAATATATATATATAAATTTGATGGAAACAAAAAATTCTTTTTGAATTGAAAAGGAGCCACAGCGAGGTTGGAGATTCTGAGGAAGTCTCTTGCTTCCATTTGTAGAAAGGGCTCATTCGTCACTACTCGCCTCTTTCCGTAACTTCATTCGGCTTTGTCCCGGAATAACACGAGTAGTTACGAATGGGAAAGGTCTATGCTGCATTCGTAACTACTCGCCTCTTTCCGTGACAAGAACAAGACTCGTACCCCATTTATTGCCAAGAATCGTGGCAAACCAATCAAATCGCGCGTAGTAAACGCATTTCGAAGCATGAAAATGGCGGCATCGTTGAACTTTAAAACTTCGCTAAACTATGCAAAGCACAAATTAAACATCTACTTTGAGCTAAAGGATCAGAAACTTTAAACACTGAAACATATTTACAAAGGGAATGACTGTATTGCTGTTTTGCCCACGGGATATAGGATATTTTAGGAGCCATGTTTGGAAATTCAGAGTTATCTTTCCTTGGTAATAGTACTGGACTATTTTCATCTCCATGCCCGTTTGCGCTTAGCCAGGGCCCAGTCGTAAGCATGGCCACGAGAGGGGTACGAGACGCCATCCGGCTTGCCGGAATGACACGAGTAGTTACGAATGGGGTATGCTGACGGGAAACTAATGTGGTTTAGAGTCTGTGAGACAAACTAACGAAAGCCTAACGATGGAGACCTAGCCCATCGCGGCTCTCGTCTCACCCTGGCAAAGTGAAACGCATACAATATCATCTTGAACAATATTGTGAACTCATGTATAAATTATTCTGTTTTACGCTTGTGTGATATCATATCACGTTTTGAAATCAAGTAAGATCTCTTCTTGTATAATTTAAAGAGATTATTCCACGAGCATGTCACTATGCTGGCCCCACCGAACTTTGGGTAGGCTATCTGGACATATGTTTTATGTGCTCTTATCGTCAAGCACGATGAATATACATGTTCTGGCACACGTGTGTACATAATGCTATTTATGTGCATCAGCCATAATCAGTAAGTGAGTGAGTTTAGGTTTACGCCGCACTCAGCAATATACCAGCTATATGGCGGCGGTCTGTAGATAATCGACTCTGGACCTGACAATCCAGTGATCAGCAGCGTGAGCATCGATATACGTAATTGGGATACGATGACACGTGTCAGCCAAGTCAGCGAGCCTGACCACCCGATCCCGTTAGTCGCCTCTTACGACAAGCGTGAGTTGCTGAAGACATGCAATTCTAAAACGGATCTTCACGGGTATCCGTGTAGTGGTACTGAAACAGGTCGTATATATGGCTATTTTATGATCAGACATGTCCCTGTCTACAACACTGGCAAGTTATGCTATTTTCAGGCTAAAATAACACCACACCACGAATGATCACCATGACACACAAAATGTAATTTGAATATACATTTGTATACGATTGTTGATAAGGGGTAAGAATAGTGAAGGGTGGGATAGTCTATTACAAGGGGGAAAGGTTACGTAAACGATAAATGGTGATGACTGTGACGAAGGTAGAGCAAATCTCAAGGTAGACAGTCTGTAGTCGGACAGACGCTGAAGCAAACATATCCAAGAAAGCCCACGCAAGTCTAGAAAATGTGGCAAGTCTAGATTTCCACAGCTTCAGCCCAAACAAGTCTAGAAAATGTGGCATGTCTAGATTTCCGCAGCTTCTGAAAATGAAGAAAGTCTCAGGGCTCGTTTTCTTTATATACTTTTTTTAACTATAAACTTTTTTTCTGTAAAATATGTTCATTTCAGAGACTAGCTGTTAGTCTAGACCACAGGGGCTTGTATTGCTGAAAATAATACAAGTCCTACAAGCGTACACTGATATCCATATACATATAAATATAAATATCATTGTTCAGGTCCTACAAGCGTACACTGATATCCATATACATATAGATATAAATATCAGTGTTCGGGTCCTACAAGCGTACACTGATATCTATATACATATAAATATGGATATCAGTTTACGCTTGTAGGACCCAGGACGTATTATTTTCAGCAATACAAGCCCCAGTGGTCTAGACAGTCTGGTGCGAACCCGCGCTTGTATAGTCACTGAAACGTATTTTAGAAATTATCTTAAAGCCGCAGGATTTCGACTTAGAATGAAGCGTTTCGGCCAAAGTGTTTAAGTAGTGACAATGGAATGGGTTGACCAGAAACACAAGTGTTAGTTGGAGGAACTACGGTAAGATCCAAAGGTACTGACATTTACATACCCATGAAGATCCGGGTTAGAATTGATCTTCAGCAACCAATGCTTGTAAAAAGCGAAAAACGTGATCGGGTGGCTGACTTCGTTGACACATGTCATCGTATCTCTATTGCGTTGATCGATGCTCATGATGCTGATCACTGGATTGTCTGGTCCAGACTCGATTAGTACAGACTGCCGCCAAATAGCCTTAATATTGCTGAGCGTGTTGATACTTGGCTCGTGTTAAAAAGAAATAGTTAGGCTAAAAGGGACGCGCAGCGGTTGCACGCACGGCAAATTGCACCAGTGAGTTTGAGTGCCACCTCTGGCTCTTGAACAGGTTGAAGAAGGGTAGACTTGCACAAGTCTCTAAGGTAAAAAAATAAAATAGTTTAAATGATAATTGCTAAAATATAATAAACAACAGACTGGTGCACTGTCTGCTTATCTAGACTTGCCTCTTCGAGTGTTAGAATTACTATACATCCATGAGTACAGCCTTGTAGCAAGGCTAGAAGAAGGGCAGCCATTCGAGTCGGCGAGGCGAGTCAGGGGTCTCGGTGGCGGACGAAGGTGGTGGGACGACTTCACACGGATAGAACTGACCTTACAGAACAGTGTTATTACATTTTTACCTTCATTCTACGAGATCAAATCTACTTTAGGTAAGTTATATATTAATTGTTACTTTGTATGGTATACACATTGTAAAAGAACGAGATCCTTGAAATAACACCCAGCGGCAGTAGCGAAACCAATCTCAGTACGATCAACTCCGATAACTACGACTCCCTGCTGGTCTGCTGGAGTCGCTTCGCCTCTCCCAAGCCGTAAGGCCGTCCCATCTGACATAGAGAGCCCTGGTGCTATAGATAGCACCATCCCGGTAATGTCGGCTAACATATCCTCCAGAAGCTCAAGCATTGGCCACCTTCCTCTACCATTCGAATGTTCACCTTTCACCTCCCCACGACTGTTACAAATCAATATTTTCAGTACACCATCCCCTAATTTGGCAACTGTCGTTCCAGACCACCAACATATCGATCTAGCATCAATGGTACCAGTAAACATTCCTGTCCCTCAGTGAACCTAGTCAATCTCATAATCCCTGAATCGCATTATTTTCCCTTCTCCTTAGCCCTTTCTGCAATGCTGAGCCCTAAATGAAGCAAGTCTAGATTTCCTCTGGACAGCATCACCGATCTCACTGGGGCACTTTTTTAATCTAAAAGGAGACTGCTGATCTCCATCCAAAGCAATGCACGCCATTAACGAGCTAGTCTGTCTCACAGTCCCTGAACCACATTATTTCCCCTAATGCCTAGCCCTCCCCGCAATGCTAAAAGATAAATGAAGCAAGTCTAGATTTCTCCAGGCTGGGGCTCCTTTTCAATTTAAATGTTGTTACTATCAAATTTATATATTTTCAGGGAGTTAGCGTTAGTCTGTTAGTGACGGGTGGACGAACTCACAAGTGCAAGACATCCTCGATCAACTCCAACCTGTAAATGTTGTTGATTTAAGCCAGTATCTACACACTCAAACACCACAAAACACTGATTGACTTGTCATCGGTGTAATACAAAATGACATATGGCTTGGTGTCACCAGAATACGGAGGGTTTACCCCGAAATCAAATACTCAGTGCCTCAGTCAGGAGGACGTCTCGTAGACTTGCACAAGTCTCTAAGGTAATAATTGATAGTCAAAATAATGTTTTCTTATAAAATATTAATTACATACTGGGGTCAGGTCCGCGTATCTAGACTTGCCTCTTTAGAGGATAGAATTACTATACATGCATGGGGTTAACACTCAGTAAAGTCTTGCAGCAAGGCTAGACGTCCCGTTAACAACGCATTCACTGCAAGAATTAGGCATCCCGCCAAATAAGCAGGCAACCAGCTTACAAGGTGCCCCCACCTAACACTGCTCCCCAGTTAACTGCTCCGACACGTGTAGATTACCAACTGAACTGACCTCATATTTATCTCCCCTACAAGTGAACTCACCTATAGATCACTAGACTTACGCTTAGTTTCTGAAGATATATAATTTTGATAGTATACTAACAAACAAGCCCATTTAAATTGAAAAGGAGCTTCAGGGAGACCAGAAATTCAGAACCTGAGGAAATCTAGACTTCCTTCATTCAGGGGCTTTAGCACTGCAGATAGGGCTTGGCAGTAGGGAAATAATGTGGTTTTAGGGACTGTGAGTCAGACTAATAGATCACCAAAACCAAATGCAACAGTAACACACCTGACACCCCTTCCCCGGGAATGGAACATGTTCAGGAGAAATCGCAGAAGGAGCTAGGTCACTTATCTCCCCGATCCTCTTCCCTGGATGAACTGCCCCTCGAATGGCTTACCCAACCTGTATTCTCCAGCTGGTGGAAATATATATATAACACGCGATAGAGATTACGGATACCTAGAAACTCGACACCAGTGAGTGAGTGAGTGATCCATGTGTCGGCTTCCTATAATTACAGACAGGCAACGTACAACTACCGCTGGGTAAAGGCTTAAAAAAATTGGATAGTTGGACCCGAGGTTTAAAACTGAACTATAATCATGTTCATTTTATTATGTTATTATTATGTCCTTCGCAATTGTTTTACATTCAGGTAAACAAGCTCATTTGCCAATGTTTCAACACGTAAAACGTACACTATGAAGATATGTTGGCGAAACGTTCATAGTTACCCCCTTGTATTGCCACTTTGCGAAGGCGTGACCTTTACCTGTACTCGATGTTACCGGATGGAAAACAATTCCCAATTGTAGGACACTTTAGGCATTTTAAAAGTTGGATTTTTATAACAAACACACCTCTAGACTGTTCATGACTGATCTCACATAATCACAATATATACTCATGGCAATAATGGTTGTAAAAAAACAACAACTTCGAACTTGTTGTTTCTCTTGTCCCATGACATCTTTTCGTTCAATACAAAACATCCAAATGCACTAGGATGACGTTCCATATATTTACATCACAGTGTGTAACAACATTTTCAGTTACTCATATTATGGTTACCATGAAGATCCGGGTTAGTAATGATCTTCAGCAATGTATGCTTGTCGTAAGAGGCGACGAACTGGATCGAGTGGTCAGACTCGCTGACTTTGTTGACAATCCCAATTGTGTACATCGATGCTCATGCTGTTGATCACTGGGTTGTCTTGTCCAGACTCGATTATTTACAAACCGCCGCCATATTGCTGGAATATTGGTGAGTGCGGCGTGAAACTAAACTCACTCTCTCACAGATTATGGATGATGCACATACCATAACTTCTTATCCCTCCGGTGTAAAAGTCAGGGGGATATTGGCCACGACTCCGTTCGTCCACAACCATTTAGTTTCCAGAGCACAACTCAAACATTATTCATTACCTTTCAACAAAACATCACAGATAATCAAGGAGATTCTGAAGTGGTGCATTTGCTATTTGCGAATATTTAAACTGTAATATTTAATTTTTTGTTTCCATAGCAACATGATGAAAGGGAAAAATATGAGTGTCGCGTCTGGAATATAACTAAAAACACATTCAACGTTTTTCATACTTGGGACAAGTCTAAATCAGGAGCTAAAGTGGTAACTTTTGTTGTTTCCATTGCAACAAGTTTGATTTGGGCTCTGTTCACACTGATTTGTTTGCCCTGATAATTATTCCTTCCTGAAGATCTACAAAGACGAACACCAAGTTGTCAACTGGTGCCATGACGGGTTTCAGAGAACTATATATTTTTCCTTTCCATACCAACAGATTTTACTTTGACTCATGTAGGTGTGTACCTGATATAGCAATAGGACGTTCCAAATGCCAAGTCTATGGTATTGTTATAATAGCTCAATAAGCACTCTTGTATTCAAACAGAAAGATTAGAGAGAAACTCTGATATGATTCTCTCGATTTCAGATTGCGACGTCCCGGGAGGAGAAAGTGACGGAATTTCTGACCTGTGTGATCTGCCAGGATCTCTACACAGACCCGTGTACACTGAGGTGTGATCACACATTCTGCAGGAAATGTGTCAACTCATACATCGACAACAGACCAGATGCTGTACAGTCCAAGACCATCCCCTGTCCCTGCTGTCGACAAAATACCAAGGTCCCCGACCCTAGGAGGCCGGTGGAGGAGTGGGCGAGGCAGATCAAAGCCAGCATCATTATACAGGGGCTGATTGACACACATGAACCGTCTACAAGTAATACAGGTGCGACAACCCTTGCAAATATTTGCTGACATACTGATTATTAGGAGTCAACTTGATCCTTATATATTGTGTATGATAAAAGCATTAAATCCCATGAAGCCCTTGAAAATACATATCTCTAAAATAGCCTACAAAGTTATAAGAAGTAATGCAATGCACTGATAGATATTCAGGGTAGGCATCTGTGATTTGAACTGTACATTGTAAGCGTAATTGTACGTGATGAAACTACAATGGTAAGTGGGTGAAATGTGTTTACTCCACTATTAGCATTAATCAAGCCAGGAGCCCTGACTCTTTACACATCAAATACATGTGGGTACGGGGCGGTGGGGTAGCCTAGTGGTTAAAGCGTTCCTCGTCACGCCGAAGACCCGGGTTCCATTCCCCACATGGTTCAATGCGTGAAGCCCATTTCTGGTGTCCCACGCCGTGATATTGCTGGAATAGTGCTAAAAGCGGCGTAAAACTAAACTCACTCACTCACTCACATGCGGGTACATTGAACACTGGCCTGTACCACCACCCTGCCTGTGCCTTAACCCCCCTGGGTGCCACAAGGGATGGTTGGTTGGTTTTATAGTTTTAGGGCGACGTGGGCCAATAAGAGGCCTATTTGCGCCCAACAGGGACACACATAGCGGAGTTATGCCCCCTTATCTTTCAACGTGTTTGCCCTCTCAGTCGTCTTTTGACGTCATAGAAGAAAATCCATTTATTGTGACTCATTTTTAATGTTGAGCGTATAATGTTATGCATAAGCACATAAACTCATTTCATACACACTTATGTCGTTCAGATATCAGGCTTTCTACGCTCACACTTTCAGTAGAGATGCCAAATCAAGAAAATCGTAGCACAGTGTTTTTAACGGTGCACGATAAAAAGCGGAGAAATTTACTGTTTTTAACGCATAACCAAAAATTTGACAACATTTATCAGTGTCTATTTCTCAAACCGCCGAGGTAGTTGCACTTTTATTTATACCAACGGATAGGAAATTTAACATTCTACATTTCTGTGTAATTGTATAGCCGTACACAGATCCAGGACCACGCGAGCGCAATTCTTGCACAACGTTCACTTTTCAAACCTTTTGAAAATGGGCACCTGAAATAAACCTCGGCATCCAGGGGGTTAAACAGGAATGATTTTACCTGGATTATCGTTGTGGTAGGCAATAGTGATCAGAACTGTACATTTATACGCGTTATTGTATCTAATGAATCTACATGGGAAAGTTGTGAAATGAGATTACATCACTGTCACACATCAAACCCATGTCAGTAAATTGAACACAAGTCTTCAGCCGGACAAGCCAACACTTTACCCTGTACCCACCACCCTATCTATGCCTTAAAGACAGGAACGGGTTTACCTGGATAACCATTGGCATGTCCACTTTCAGGTTCTTTTTCGGGCTGCTCGCAATGTGAGAAGTTAGGGGTCACAGCTTCAGGAGCATTATGTTGCTCAGTGTGTGAAGTGTTCCTCTGTGAGAGATGTGTCAAGATGCATCGTGCAAGTCCAGCATCACATGACCATGAAATATGTGACCTTTCAGGAGAGGTGAAGGTCAAAAGACGCAAGGTTGTATGCAGGGAACACAAGGGTGAGGTTATAAAGTTCGTCTGTAAAGACTGTCAGAAAGCCGTGTGTCAGACATGTTGCGTTGTTTACCACGAGAAATGTGAGTCTGTCGTTACCATGGAGTCCGTGATGCCAACCATAAAGTATCACTTGAGAAAGAACGTGAATGAATTGTCAAAGAAAATAGAGAGAAACCAAATGCTGCTTCAGAAAAGGCACACACAAATTACTAGAATAGAGAAAACTAAAGTAGATATTGAAAACCACATCAAATCTGCTGTTGAGAGAGTCATCGCCAGCATCAGACAAAAGGAAAAACAGCTGATGAATGAAGTCAAGGACATTACAGATAAACAAACACAGCAACTTAAGGCAGATATTAAACTTGAAGAGATCGAGATGCAGATGTACAGACAACATTGTGAGTTCATTGACCAGGCCTTGGTATCGGACTGTGAGATGGACCTGTATGACGCGTATCAGGCCTGGGAGTCTGGAGCTGTAGAGATTGAGGATGTCAGGGATACAGAGGCAGCAGACACCCGGAGAATAGATGACGTCATCTTTACACCTGACACTGACAACTTCTGAAAGGCCCTAGATAACCTGCAGTTGGGGAAGATTGACGTCACATACCAGGATCGAGAGCAATATCTGCCAATTCCAGTGCTGGTTAGCACGATAGATGGGAGGGTGTCGGGTGATGATGAGGAGCCTTACCTACAAGACGTTACAGTTCTGGTTGTAGATGGTGTACAGACATGTGTTGTTACGGACCTCAAAAATAAGTGTGTGAAATCATACTTCACAAGAAATAATCATTCATGCCACAGTAAGCTTCCCCTGGATAACACTCCACATGGGATGACACAGTTGAATGAGAAGCAGGTGATGGTTGCTGTCAAAGAGTCCCTCCAGATTGTAACAGTAGAAGTGACCCCTGACCTGATGCTGCTCTCTACCATCACAACCCGTTCCGGTTACTGCAGTTTGGCTGTTCTGAATCCTTCATGTCTAGCAGCAGGTCGTTGGAAATGTGTTGATATCCTGGACATTTCTGGACACGTGTTGAGGTCAGTCCCTACACAAAATGATGACTCGTTGTTTACCTTCCCCTGGTACATGTGTGTCAACACCAAGGGCAACATACTCGTGTCTGACTGTGGGAAGACGTCTGTGACATGTCTGACGTCCGAGGGGGATGTTGTGTGGAGATACGCCCCTACCGAAGCCGGTGCACTCAGCTTCCCTTGTAATATCACAACTACCACGACAGGAGATATCTTGCTTCTAGACACTGCCAGGGTGATACAGCTGACAGAGTCGGGGGAGTTTGTCAGAGAATATCGACACATCGTTGATTATCCACGGGGATTGTATGTAGACAGTCATGACACAATGTACGTGTGTAGCCTAACTCAAATACTGGAATTAAAATTCATATAGTCATACAATCACTGCATGCATCCTAGCATCAGTAAAACATGAGCTACACTATAACAGATCAGAAAAGATATTTTCGATTAGATTGTATAGTGTTTGTAAAGTCACCAGAAGTACCTTCCATGTCATTAAGCACAACACATCAGCTCAGCACGTTCTCTTCGGTGACTTCCTGCAGGTTCTCGTGGACAGAACGTCAGAGATCTGATAAGTCAGAGATCTGAGTAAAAGAGATCTGATGTAAGTAAAGTCAGAGATCTGATGTAATGATGGCGTCTTACTGAGATATGGTACTTGTTGTTACTCTGCCTGTTCAGCATTGAGGGGTGTCACGGCGCCAACTACCTTCCAGGGAGACTGGACAGAACATGATCCAGAATGGTAAGCATATACACAACCAGATTGTTGATACAACCATTTATTAAAACTAAGTACCCGCTCAAGCATGAATGGGTTTGCACCTCAAGCACAACAACACGCCGCTAAGAACAACAAGTAGCTAGCTATTCTTCAAAGGCATTTTAGAAGTTGGTGTAGTGATTCAAGACAAATCTTATGGATATCATCTTGATTTATTTTTCACAACGTTTCTGGGCTAGAAGAAGGGCAAGAACTAGCTCAGAAACGTTGTGAAAAATAAATCAAGAAGTTGTTATCCATATGATTTGTCTACTATTAAGTAGCTAGCTAAGTAAACTGGCCTTAAAAGACTAGCTCAGGGATCGGACTATATATTGACTGGTGACACCTGATGAGCGTGGGATAACAAGGACCTAACTACTTCCACTTACAGGGAGAGTATCGGGTCAATAAACATTTAACACTCCACGTGATCAATAGGACAAACAGACCAGGACAAGATATACCATCACAAAAACCAGTCTTGAGCTCCCAAGTTCGGTCCTCAGGTCGCCCCACGATTTGGCGATTGACAACTGGTAGTTGATCGACATGCACAAAGCATTCCAGACTTCCCCAAGTGTGTTGGACAACTGGCTAAGTAAATGCGCGGACGTCGCAGAGGACAATGCACGACGCTAGTTGAAAGTTTGCATCTAGTCTCTGACCAGCAAAGAAGTGTGCTAATACTTGGGTACATAAACGACTATAACTAACTTGTAAGCGTATGTACAGTTAAGGGGTATACATGTTTAAGAAGAGTGTGAGTTCTACTACAAACAAATATAGGTGGGTATTGAGACAATAGTTTGTACAATTTTGTAGTTAGCAGAACCCCTGATAAAATAAGGTGTATACATATAGGCTGGAGCGCTTATATCTCCCTTATTAAAACAGATACATTGACGGAAGTCACATACAGAAAAAGATAGTAAGCTCCTCTACAAGAGGGTACATACATAGGTGTTAAAAGATGTTAATTACAATGCATAACAAGCAAAAATTAGCAACAGGGGACGCACGGCTCAACTAGATGAGCTGAATAAACAAAGGGGATAGAGCAATTTAGCTAATACCTAATGTTGTCTTTTTTATCTGGGCACATACCATTATTATCAAGGGTACAGCTTATGTAAGCCTTATGCAACCAGCAATAAAATGTGTTGTTTTATGCGGTCTGTCTTTTGGGAAGATACCGAGCAAGGACAGCTTGGTGTCAGTAGTCTGTGTCTTAGTAGGGTATCCTGTTGTACGGCGATGTGGTATCTCATCGGATTCACAAAACGACCTCTTTATTTGGGAACATACACACTGGCCACAGATCGAAAACGGAGTGTTTGGAGTCGAGTCAGGTATATTCTTCGAAATCAAGTGGTATTCTTAGAAACAGATGACGTAGAAGTCCACATATGAATGAATGCATACTTAATGGTGAGGAATTTGATTTCAAAGAGCTGAGCATGATAATGAAAAATAACCACTTTGGTTGTCCAATTATGAAGCCATAATCAACCCCAGGGTTTAATTCAGGAATTGCACATATTGAAAAGAAGGAAACGGTCACATTAATTGTAATGAACTTCAATGATTACTTCATTCAAGAAGACTGAACCAAAAACAAAAACGAAGGAAACAGTTTAACACTAAGGTCTGTCATGGCTATAGTAGTGTTATGAATACACAGTACCATTTAGAAAGGGCAGGATAAGTGGGTAAGATGGCTGATATTGTGTGCTGTTGATTAGGTACCTGACTCTGAGGGTGTAGGCTCGATTCTCGTATGGTATTCCCGAAAAATATACTACAGTTTGTACTTGTGTAATCTGGAATGTAACACGTGTTACGTCAATTCGTATTGGCCTGTCCTAGTACGGTAATTTTCTATACCAATTTTATATTTAGCATTTATGTTAAAGAAGTCCAACAAGCATATCCTCCTGCAGGAGTTGTCTCCCTTACAGTATATGAACCCGCGTGTGACCTGCATCCACCCATAGGGGCGTGTCTCGATTAGAAACGGCGAATTTAAGCGAGACACGCCCTATGCATCCACCCCAGTATGTATTTCTGTATATAGGAATGTCAGCCCTGCACAACTTGCTGTGACTTGTTTGGTGTTTAATGCAAAATGTTTCTTTGGTCCACCAGTTCTTTCAGATGTTCAGATATTGTAAATATATTTTATTTTAATCAAACAAGATTTCAGAAGTGACATGCTCAAGAAAAGTGATTCATTTTTCCTTCCTGCAATATTAGCGCCAACATTCTATACGGGTTAAGTCAAAGGGCTATACCAGAGTAAGGGACTGCATCAGGCAGTTATTAAACATTCTAAGCGTATGTTGCTTAATTATATATTCTGTACTATGTAAAGTATATGACACGAGTTGTTTCGTTCTGGCTACGTCTATGTTTCTATGATATGTTGAAACGTTTAGACGATAATGGAGATGTTAACTAGGCTTCGGCAGTACGATCAATGACATTTCAACATGGCTTGCTTATGAATAAATATATCAAAATGTTGGAAACTGTGAATTGTTTTTAAACCTTTTTAAACAACGTTGTAAAGACATGTACTACCAAGAATGGATGCAAGATATAGAGTTAGTGAGTGAGTTTAGTTTTACCACGCACTCAGCAATATTCCGGCTATATGGCGGCAGTCTGTAAATAATCGAGTCTGGATCAGACAATCCAGTGGTCAACAGCATGAGCATCGATCTGCGCGCAAGATTTAAGAAACTCAAAATCATTTGACATGTATTTTGCTTTTAAATCTGATATTGTTCCAGAATTGTATTTGATTGCACTCTCTTCGTTACATCTGCGCAGAGTTTTAACAAAATTCAGATGCGGCTCCACCAATCTGAAAATAGTTTCGTATAGAAGATCTAAAGACAATGACATTTGTGTAACTGTATGTGATTATTGTAAAAGGGCACCAGGAGATGAGCATCATGTGTTAATGAAATGTCCTTTATATGCAGCGGAAAGAACTCACTACATACCAGATATCTATATCATGAACCCAAATAAACAAACCTTTGTACATCTTCTAAATACTAAGAAGCATAATATCATACTCCGTCTATCAAAGTTTGTAAACAAAATCATGTCCATGTGTCCTATAAAACTTTAATCCAAGTTGTCATTTTATACTATTGGCCTCATGGCCACATTTATGAAATAAATCTACCCGTCTGTCTGTCTGTCCGTCTTTCTGTCTGTTTGTCTGTCTGTCTATCCGTCCGTCCGTCCGTCCGTCACTCGAGAAAAGGGATACATTTCCCCTTCCTGCAAAAATGGGCCCAAACATTCTAGACGGGACTGCTTTAGGCAGGTATGGCACATTCTATATACGTATATCGTATGATATAAACATTAAACAAAACATATATATTGCTTTTATATCGCTTTTACACTTATTTGTCTGTTTGATTGTGTGTGTTTTTATTGAACGAGTGTCACGGTAACATTTTTTCTTTTCCTTTTTTACCAAAACAAAAACTGGTTGCTTGATGTTTTAGTCCACTTCACTAAGCAGAGGATTCTGTCATTTCAAAATATATGAATCAAATAAATACATATTTTGCATGGTAAATAATATCTTTTGGTGTTGTATGTGTTGTAAGGGGGTTGGAATAGACGAAAAATGACGTCATCATCGAACACCTGGCTGACCTCATTTCAAAGGGGTATCAAGGACCGTGGGATCCGGCGTCACATCAAAGCATCACACCATAACA